CGGGGTTGGGGGGCAGAATTTAATTTATTGTGACAGAGAGAGTGTTGCAGTGTGTATTTGGGGTTTGAGGAGGCCAGTTTCAACCATCTGTTTGAATTACAGACACGTGTCTGATCAGGAAGAAGCTGATTAGTGTCAGGAAGGGTTAGGTTTACACAGATGGTGCTATGTGCACCTTGAATGCAGCTGAAATAAACTTTCAGCTCAGAGTTATGTTATGTTTCATTGTGTTTCCCCCACTGTTTCCCTGTGACCCAGTGTGTCTGAGTAGTTATTTAGTTCACCTGGTGTCCTTCAGTTATCTCATTATTCCCTCGTTTAGTTCTGATAGCCTGTTTTGTTCAGTTCTTTTGTTCAGTCTGTACAGTGGATGTGGTCCCTGTGTGTTTATACCCTGCTCCTGTGGATTATTGAATTAAGACTATTTCTTTCTATCTCAATTGTTTACTTAATTAATCACTATATATATTGTTATGGACTTAAGTAATCTTTTTTATTATTTTTATTTTTATACCAGAAACAGCTTCAGTATCTGTGTTGTCTCTTCAAATCTCCCTCGATTTTTAAAGAGATCTATTCTACAAAGACATAGATAAAGTTAAAAATCCCAAACCATAACCATTTTTTATATTTGTCTGTTATTGTTTGTGTTTTTGGACCATGTGTGTCCTTAATAAAGGTTTGATAGCTTGATAGCCTATATAGAACCCTATAGGGTTATTGACTCAATAATAATAAAAAAACCTTTATGCCAAATGATGATTGTATAATATTTTCTTGTTTAACAGATGGCTACTTTTTTTTCTATGCCATTGAAATGCATAGGCCTACATTCAAGTATAACATCAATCTCTTCCAGTTATGCTGTGAACGTAGCATAAGCTTGTTGTTTTGGTTTAGAAGGAAGTGTAAAAGATGGCTACTTTTTCGGTGGTGATGCTCGGTGACTGAGATCTGTCTCTGCATAGCACGAAACGCGCTGATGATGTGTGAGCAGGGTGCGCGGAGGTATGAAAATACATACGTTGACGGGCAGGTAGGACATCGGTCCATTGCATTCGGAACAAATGCAATGATTGGACGAACATTTTATGGTCCTAAGCCTTCCACAGATGATGTATAAACATATACATACATTTAGACCTCTTAAAGGCATACTATGTAACTTTTCGCCACTAGAGGTCGTTTATTCAAAACTTGATTTCGCAGAATCGTGGGAGTTGTTGTCTTCACCTCTACAGCCGGTGGAGAATACGACGGGACTCAGGCAGAAATCATATTCATGGATGACCGGTAATATTTAATAACATTACGAATGTCGTTGGAGCGGAACGAGGTCGCTGGAGCGATTGCTAGTGAGAGACGCCCGGACACGGTTCATGTCCTGGTTAAAACTGCTTATTTATCTGGATTTAAACTTTCTTAGAAACATTTGGAATAATGTACACAAATCAACAAAATATATGACATTGTTCTAGTTGTTTTTGGATATTTTTATCCAAAAATCTTACATATTGAGCCTTTAACTTAGTGATTGCTATCAGGATGTGAAGAGACTTTCAACCAGCATAACAAACAACTTTCTGGAACAAATGGCCTTCCCTGCCTTTAAAACAAAACTAATTTATTAAAACTAAATCCATAAAATGATCCCATGAATGGAAGGCCTAAAAGGTTCTCATATATGAACCATCTGACCAGACAGATCAGGTTCTGAATAGAACTTTCACTTCAGCACACTGATAAAATGACCATGATGCTATTTCGTCAGCCTCCAGAGATTCTACAATCCACCACCAGAGGTCACTGTTACCTCATTATTGACCTCGGTCGCCATGGTTACTGCCACAAATGTTCCTTGCTATCATGATTAGATTGTCTGTATATGAATAGCACTTTGTAAAGTTTAGCATGTATTCTCACAGACTTTCGGAGTAATTGCCCTCATTCTGTTGGCAAACCAAACCTGTAAATACATCATACATGTCAAGAGCAAAGTAATGAGCAATCTTTTTTTAAAATAATAAAATCTGGAATAAATGTTTTTACTTGATGTAATCAACTATCATACAAAAAATTGCATGTCCATCGCTTTAAACAACCAGATTTTGGCATGACCAGGAGACGGTAATATATCATTCCATCTCTTATCAGCAGGGGGCACTATATGATATTTCTTTCTTATTAATACATATCTTACCAGCATTTGGTAATATATAATTTCTAGTGCTGTCAAATCGATTAACATCTAAGATAAAATCCTATCTTATATCCTATATCCACACACACACACACACACACATACACACATAGGCTACATACATATACATTCACAATAGTAACAAATTCAAATTCTACTGTAAATCAGCTCTAACAAGCCGATAGTGTCATTATTCAGCTCAAGCCAGTACAGTATTGATTCAGTTCCATAACTGTGTAAAATGCATCAGTTGTGCATAATGTATATACAGTGCATTTTTGTGTTGGAGTGCTATACGACAAACTCCACTGCACACTGAACAAGCAAAAGACACAAGATAGGGTTTTACATTTTTCACATCTGTGTGTATTTTGGCGTGGATGTGGCTAATAATTTTATGTCTGTGTAGACTTACAAAAATAGCATTTTTAGAGTGTTTGCTTATGCATTCGTTTTGCATCTTTTCGAGTTTTGAGAAATGGAGCCATAGTTTCAAAAACTGTGTAAGCTATTTTTGAAAAACTGTAATACACATTTGAGTGATTCTGAGAACGTAAAGTTGATGAAAAATTAAAAACAAAAAAACAAATAGGCTCTTAACATTCATGTACAAACTTATTCAACCCCCAAAAGTCAAATTTTGCACAGAATCTTTTATTCTTTGTAACCTCCAATAAATGCTGCTGTATTCTTAGAAGGAGCTTCTGTCAGCTCTGCAATCCATGCTTGAAAATGCTTTCAATCTTTGCTTTTCACATTACCACTGCTTTCTTAAAATTCCACCAAATATTTTGAATGAGATTTAAATCTGAAGACTGTATAGGCCACTCAAGAACATGTGTACAACTGATCCCTGAACCAAGCTTCGGTATATTTGGATATGTCCTCCATTGATCAGCAAGCTTCAGTCTCTGCACCAAAAGGCATCACCATCTTTGCCAAAACTGGCTTAATACTTCATGATGTCCTTTATACAGTGAAGATTTCCACTTGCAACACCAAAGCACCCCTATAATACTGGACCACCATGCATGTTTGAGCATGTTTGCTGTTGTTCTGCTCAGAAGCTTTGCCTATCGCTGATCCATGGGTCCAAAAAGTTCCAGTTTGGTCATATCACTCCATAAAACATTCTTCCAGAACTCCATAGATCTATCCCAATCAATTTGAGCAAATTCAAGTCAGCCTTTTGTGTTCTTCTTGGTCAAGAGAGCATTCAGCAAGATCTCCCAATGTCTATCTTATACTGAAATGTTTTTTTCCTCCTTTCATCAGGGCATATTGCCAGTCTTTGGCAGTAAATTGAGGGCTTTTCTCAGTTAATCTGATCAAACATTTTATTTCCCTTTATGATATTGTGCCTTTTCTTCAAAACCCTTAAAGGTTTCCTGGTACAACACATTTTAAACTTATGAAGAAGGCTGCCAGCTGTGATGTTAGTGTTTTGGAAATCTTCTTGTAGCCAAAGACTTTCAAATGTTCTCTATATTAAATAAACAATTTGTTCTAGCTTTTGTGAGAGCTCTTTTGACCATATTTGCTACTCAACTTTAGCACGTGCATGGGCTAAATGTAAGCATATATAACAGAACAAGCTATAATTCAGTTTTGTCCTCCAAAGGCTTAATTGTGTTTTAATACAATTCTGTACCATACAAATAAGTCACTTAAAAACAGCAGCGTCGAATAAGAGGTTGAATAATTATGACAGCTACATTACAAAAAAAACCTATAACTCAAAAGCATTACATTATATATTGACAATATCACTAAACTTGCCACTAACAGCTGTTATACTGTAGATGCATTTTTTTTTAAACTCAGTATCTTGAGAAAAGCTTACATTGGTAAATTATTACAGTCTCCGGGGGGTTGAATAATTTTGATCACACACACACACACACACACATATATATAAAGTGTTAGTGCTGTCAAATTGATTAATCTCTAAGGCTATAAACCTTTATGTTGGATGCAATTAATCAATTTGTCTACCAGCAGATACATTTTAATTGAAGGATTGCAACCTTGAAAATGCACACATTACGTATTAATCTTTATAATTGATATAGGCTATTTAATGATAATGTATTTATATAGTTCTGGGTTGTTCGTAATTGGATATTTTGAGTAGCCTAATTATCAATATCCCAACTAGCCTGTTTAAATTACTATAACAATCACATATAAAATAATCAAATAAAGTTTATGAGGATAATAACACTACATAAGTATTTTAATAAGTCTGTTATAATCTTCCAAACTGAACTCTTAAAATTGCCATGGTTACCATGTTCGTTAAAATGCCATGGTTACGGCTAGTCACTACATTAAAAGGCGGCAGCCTCTTTATAGCAACAACTGATGTAGAAAAAGCCTAAACAAAACAGCAGAAATGTTTAAATACTAAATGTTTAAGGGATATTCTGTTTTCATTTAGGATTGTCACAGTAACAACTATTGTGTAACTAACTATTTTTGTAAGGGTATTGTAGCCTATAGTAATGTAAGTACAGTAACTGAATGCAGTAACGATACGCCCACACAGGCGAGCACTACAAGAAAAAGGGGAGAACAGCGAGGAGGGTGTTAGGCTACTCTCACTCTATCCATCATTGTTAAAATATTGGAGGTTAGTAACACAAGAAACAGAAGCTCAGGCCAGATAACTCCACTATCAAGTTGACTTCGGCGACCACAGGAGAATTGGTGGGAAGTTATCTGTATTCTGTTTTAGCGCCGAAACCCGAGGAAACCAGGAAACAACGTAGCCTACGGTTGTCATTAGGAAATTATACAGAAATGAAGTAAGTCAATTAAATTTGAGCCATCATATATTGTTTTATAGAAAAGTAAAAGATTAAGGAACAAACACGCGTTGTGTAGGTTGAAGGGTTCATCTTTAGAGACTAATGTAAATAGAGACTTTGGTAACTACAAAGACACGTGGCGAGTTCTGACTCACGAGTTCAGCTTTTAATGAGTTTTCTGTGTTTTCTTCTAAAATATGTTTTTTTTCGTAAACGGAAAATGTCCGTTTGTTGTTTTTTAAAGGAGCTCAAATGTATTTTAAACGAGCCAACTTTCTACTCTAGACGGCGCTTAAGACAAGGCGTGTTTTATTGTAACGTTGTGGATGAGCATCTCACCGGCTGAGGAAAAAAAAGTTTGTTTGTTTAATCCCGTCGAGAAAGTAGACCCTAAATTTGTTTCTCATTGGGACACGCCGAGAAAGCTAAACCCTTTGTCCTCTGGGGAAATACAGCGAGGGCAAAATTCTCAGCGTTTCAGCCTCCGGAAAGGGTTTACCTATAACGTTACCAGAAAACCATTTCCCCCCGCCGAGTGTCTCTAATGGATCTTCTTTGAGGAATCGATTCGATTAATGCCATTCGAACGATTTAAATTGTTTCTAATGAAGGTGGAACACGCTACCCACATTTTGATCCTCAGTCGTTTGATGCCTATAGTGTTTTACAGTCTGTTCAGATTTTAAAAGTCATGATGTAATACTTTAAGAAGGTTTCAAAAAGACTCGGTTCGGTTACTGTGTTGGAGCATGGAAGATTTGTCCATTTAAAAGATTCGATTGCTCACCAGAGGAGGGCACGACCATATTAAATTCTATTACTTCCAGAGAGCATAAAGAATTCTAAGAATTTGATTCAAATGGAAAGTTAGGGGCACATTTAACCCTCTGGTGGGCTTTGTCAAAAATGACCACATTTTTAAAATTGTATTTCAATTAAATTACGACACTTGGCAGATTATTGCTGAAGTGAAAAAAGTTTTTTAAAAAGTCACAAAATTGTACGTTTATTGTTATGAAAAATGCACAAAAATACTATTTTCGATTTTTACATGAAATATATATTTTCAAAAACACGTTTTACTCTAAAACGGCAAGAAAATCAAATCCATAAATCTACAAGTTGTGTTCCAAATTTGAGCTTGATATCTCAAAAATGAGCTTTCAATAACATTTTGTTTGGCCGCAGTGCCAAAAGTTTTCACATCGTCTCCCATTCATTTCCAATGCGGCCATTTTTGACTGCGAGGAGCACAAGTGTGGCAAATGGCAATTGTTTTTCATTTAACCTTTTCAAATCATGTCCATGATTTTAGTTTTTGTGTTCACATAGCAAGTGCCAAAACCTTTACCAAGTTTTGTACCATTTCGATGAAGTAAAAAATTCTAAAAAATGACCTAAGAGCACCAGAGTGTAAAATATTCCAATCTTGAAATGCTTCCAAGACTCACTCACTTTTGGTGCTTGAACTTTATTATAAAGCATCCTCTACTTATAAACATTTAGAGAAAGGTGTGTTACAGGATCAACTGTAAAATTCACAGGACCCAGTGCTGGATCCTCCATCCTCCATTTCTCTGCTCAGAGAGTAATGAACAGGCGTACAGGACCTTAGTGGTCCCCTTTAAACACACACAGAACTTGAATTGTTCCAATCAAGTGACGCAGGACACACTGGACAGAACTATTAAAAGTTACTTTTTAACTGTGCAGTGTGAGCAATGTGCTTCACATACCTGTGTGCCAAAAGGTTTGCAAGTAGATACCTACTGTTTTCACTAAACACATGATAACATGAAAACCCCAAACCGTCTTCACTCATACTGTAAACAAACACACATGCAACTGACCTAAACTGAATCCTCTTGAAGATTAAAAAAAAGAAGAAGTGTAATCTGCCTAAATGGGAAAGGCTTTCTACCTTTGTGAAACTGCCAGGTAGTGAAACCTGCTTTCCCTCATTCAGGAGAATATCAGTGGAGATTATTTCGAGCACGTGTCACCGTGTGAGTTACAAAAAAAATCCTCCCATAAGCCTGTGTGTTGAGGACAAAGACATCTAGTGGACTGCGTCTAATCGTATTAAACACAACACGCTGAATCAGTGTCCTGCTGAGATCCCTGCAGTTTCTTCTCTCTACTTTCTGTCTCCCTCTTTGTATTGCCTGTACCCCCCACCCCCCCTTACTCTTATCTCTTTCTCTCTTTATTGTGTGTGTGTGTGTGTGTGTGTGTGTGTTAGTGGGTTTTTGGTTATCCAAGTTATAATGACCGAACTCTTGCAGTCATGTCATGGGATAAGTTGACCCGGTTTACAAACAAAAACTTTGACTCACTTTTTTTATTATCTCTAATCAGAGGATACACATTTGACTTTCCTTTAGGGCATAAGCTCTGATTTATTAATCAAATGCATGGTTCTAATTTGTTACATAACATCACATGTGGTCGCTGGTGGTTTTTTCAAGTTGTTTCACAAATAGCAGCCAATGCAAATCGATTGGACACACCCCTGTTTAAAGAGCTTTTGACTGGTAGTAGTAAGTCGTGGGAAATGGTTAGGCGTGTCTCTCTTTTACAATCTCTTGCCAGAGATTTCAAGAATAAAATGTCATGAAAATGTAGTTAAGTTACAAACTAGCTAGTTACCTTCAATGGATCTCAAATCTAACTCACTGATACAGTAATAATAACATAACATGTTTGCTTACAATTCTTTCCACCATACATTTTTCTAGGACAGAAGTCAATGCAACTGGTCTATAATTTTCGAGTATAAATCATTCATACTCTACTGGTCAACAGTCTGGGATCAGTAGGATTTTTGTTGTTGTTGAAATAATACTACTATTCAGCAAGGACTTTTAATATACCACTATGCGTTTACTGTCAGACCCTTGATTTTATTTTGTTTTAATAGACCCTCTTTTTCTCTGTTTGATAGGAGGATGGCTCCCTCTCTAACACAGGCGTTCAGGAGGCGCTGGTGGATGGCCGTCACAGCGGTGTTGGAGAATCTGTTGTGTTCGGCTGTGCTGTTGGGCTGGGGCTCTCTGCTCATCATGCTCAAAAGCGAGGGCTTTTACTCCCACCTGTGTCCAGGTATTATTAGGCACACAAGTCAAACACAATCACCCTAACTCAAGTCACTAACTAGCACAAAAAGAAAACAGAGCCAGAGTTCCTGGGAAACCTGAACTGCTTGGAGACATTAAAACTTAATAAAGTCTCTGTCTCTTGCTTGCTTTGACCTTCTCTCTCTCTCTCTCTCTCTATCTGTAGTAGAAAATAAGACTGAGAGTGTGAACGTTAGCAAACCAGATGAATGGCTGAGCTGTGTGGAACAGGATGAAATGTTGAACTTGGGCTTCACCATTGGCTCATTTCTGCTCAGTGCCGCCACACTGCCATTGGGTATTCTCATGGATCGGTTCGGCCCCAGGCCACTGCGCCTCGGTGGAAGGTGAACACACACATACACACTAATGCTCTGATCGCTTACTAATATGTGCATATAAGAGCACTTTCACATTCAAGTTATTATCATTCTAGTGTATTCCATTACACAGGGTTCGTACAAGGTGCTTGAATTTGACTTTTTGAAATTTAAGTCCTGGAAAACCTTTGAAAACAGCCATATTTATGAAAAGCTACTTGAAAAGTGCTTGAATTTTATCGATAAAACAATCTTTTCATGCAAAATTAACGCTGCAGCCCGGTTTGAATAAGGAAAGCAATATTTTTGACATGGTATCCTTTCAATGGTTAAAGTGACCACAGTCATTGCATGTGCTGCTTTATATGTACCATTTTGTTTTATTACGGTAGTTTATTTTTATTTAACAAATTTTTTAGAATTTGAAAGATAATAAAGATATTGTTTGATAAGTGAGATCTCTGATTGTAGTCCTTGAAAACCAAAAAAGTAGTGCTTGAATTTCATTGTACAGTATCTGTACGAACCCTGATTAGATTTGTATTTCTACAGTATCTTGGTCTGTATTTGTTTCATTAACGATTATTCATGTATTAAATTTTTTTCTCAGTGCGTGTTTTGCGGTCTCTTGTATGATCATATCTGTATCAGCCTATCAACCAAAAGGTGAGTGAACTAATACATTAAGAATGTGCAAGAGTCCCCGAATTATGGCAGTGATCAATCACCAATCAATCAATATTTTGTTTTTTGGATGTATTCGAGTTTTTTAAATAATTTAACATTCAACAACACATTGTTTATAATTCATTTGTGGCTATTTTGATAATTTATTATCAGTTGAGGATTTCAATAAATTGAATTTAAAAAAAGCATAATTTTATTTTCAGAACTTTTTCAATTTTGTTTGCTAATTTTTTTTCCAATATAAACAATTTTACTACTGTAAAGTGATGTCAACCTTTTTTTTGATGAATTGTTGCTGCCTTTAAATATAGAGCAATAATAGATCAATATCCCTTGTGCATCAATTTAAAAAAGTAAAAAAAACTGTAATAAAATCTTAAGTTTTGAAGCACAGACTTAAGTTTGACCCTTGGCAAGATTTTTGTTGAAGTATAAAACAAAAGTAAAAAAAGTGAAACAAAAAGTTATAGAGGTTTAGGTTTATGAAAATTATTTACATAAAATATACATTTAATAACATTTATTGAGCACAAAACCTGCAAGAAAATCAAAGCCATAAATCTAAACAAGTTGTGTTCCAAATGTGCAGTTGAAATCTCAAAAAAATAGCTTTCAGTAAGATTTTGTTTGACTGCAGTGTCACATTTTGAAGCCTTGCCAAAAGAATGAAAGTCTATTAATAAAGACTGCATCATTTAATAGTTAAATGGCCCTGGGATTAAAAATTGCAGTTTTAATGGGTTTCAATGGGGACATTTTTGTCTTTAAGGTCTAGTGTAAAATAGATTTATTAAAGGAAAAAGGGTGAAATGGTAAAATTACAATAAAAATACACACTTGGCCCAAAATGTATGCAGTTGACATTAACATGGGCAAAATTATCAAAAAGTCAAAATTGTCCATTAGGATGCAGAGCCAATTAATCAGCCATTATTTGACCATTGTCCAATTATTAGCAATAGCCGACTTGATGAATTAACAGAAGTAGTATTTTTATTCCAAGTAAATTCTATAAATTATAAGTAAATTTTGTGTAAAATAAATGTTCACAGTTGTACACAGAGACTTAAATGTAGCATTTAGTAGTAAATTCAGAATTTATATGTATGCTACTGTATACAGCGGACACATATAATATAATGCGTCATATCCAAGTCATTGTCACATTTTTCAGTTGACCAAACAGCTGTTACAATTGTGTAATATTGGTTGTGCCTTTCATTCTAGTCCTCTCTGCACTCATTTTTCTGGCTCTGTCACTCAATGGCTTTGGAGGGATCTGTCTGACCTTCACATCTCTCACGGTAAGAATAAAATAGAAAATGGTAGAGCGAAAGAGCACCTGTGGTGACTTGCATGTTTTGTAGTACAGCTGTCACATGAAGCTTTTTGAAGTTTATTTTGTCCAGACAAGTGTGTGTGTGTGTGCATGTGTGTATTTATGTGTTTTGGCCAGTCAGAGGCCCGACGCACATGACCGAAGGAGAAATTCTGGCCTTTTCAGTGCCCACCAATTAGAACGCTAAACTGCCCACACGCCTTCTCTGACGCCCTCTCCCTCCCATCAACCTCTAGCTGAAACAGAGCAAGGGCACAAACATTGTACCCGCATGTTTCCTATCGGTTTAGTGATATCATCACCTGGTGTGGGAAAGAATGACTATATATATCAGCTGCTCTCAGATGCAGATGCCAAAACACACTTACCCTTGTGCATTCACATTGCTAATCTAGTGCTGCTCAGGTATGCGTACACACTGCCCCACACTAGACAACACATGGTGCATTTTATCCAATGAGATCCTGATGCACACTTCTGAGAAAAACATGGCATAAGACTCTCTGCGTCTTTGTTGACAGTGATTTACTACCAGCATGGAGACAATAACAGCATGTTCTGATATTGCACTAAACACTATATTTACCCTGTTCCACTATGTGCGTCGTTATGATGTTATCTGAACTGACTTGTGATCAGCAGGTCAGTTACCTCCATGATTTTGTGTACTTATTACACATAATAAAATCCAATCACAAATAAGACAAGAGCGGACGGAAATGTTTTGGTTAAATCTCCTTTTCAGACGTTTCTTCTAAGCAAAGGGCCCCACTAATCTCACACTCAACTTTCTCTCACTATGCTCAGATTAAAAAATAAATAAATAAATTCTGTAATAAAAATTCAGAGATTCTAATATTCACCTAACCATTTCTTATCAAATTCTTCCAAGATTAAATTACCATTGGTGTACCTCAAGGTTGTGTGTTGGGCCCCCTTCTCTTTTCAGTATATAGACATTGCTGACATCTATCATCCAGGCACATTGGTTTTCTTACCATTGCTATGCCACCTCATTACCTCTCATTTCATATGACCTTAGCTGTTCTTTCCACAACTATGTTATAGCATGTATAGCTGTACGTTAGTAATTGTCTCTTTTATGTCTACTTGTATTTGTCTGAGGAATTTTAGTTGAAACTTCTTGAAGCAATACTTGCCATTAACACAACTGAGAACTCTATTAACTTTCCTAAACTATGAACATCTGAGAAATAAATAACATAATTTCCTTTGGGTACTCTACTGATTTTTAAGGTTTGCATTGCAACCTTCTGTAACAATTCCCTTTAGGTTGTTGTAGCACTCTGTGTTTGTGTGTGAAAACCACAAAGGAAGCATAAATGTGCCTTTTCTCAGAAGTATGCGTTTTTAACCTTTTCATTTCACACAGGGTAGTAAAACACACTAGCACACCCCTGTTAGTTTGCAAGAGTGTGGAAAATGAAGCACTGCTTGGAAAGTTCTTGGAAAACAAATTTGGGAGTTCTTTGAAAACAATCCATGCCAGGACTCCGTGCTAACAACAGTAGCATATATAGATCTCACACAGCTTTTCTCAAAGTTCTCTGTTTTTGTTTTTTGTTAATTATTGGTATTTAAGTCAGGCATCTCTATCACTTTTGCTCATAATTGCTGTTAGACATGTGATGCGGTTATACAAGTGATGTTCGCTTGACTTTTGACTTGTGTCATTAAACCACCCAGAACACCTTAGCATCATGGTGGTGAGTTTTTCCATGGTCAAGCAAGCAACACTCACATTGTTTTCAAACAATAAAATAATCTAGTTATTGTTCCTGTTTTTGTATATTGCAAATGCAGGATCAGCAGCATCTTATGATTTTCCTATACTGATAACAATGTGCGTGTCCTTTCTCCCTGTGATAGCTGCCGAACATGTTTGGAAGCCTGAGCTCCACTGTGTTGTCACTGATGATTGGCTCGTATGCATCATCGGCTGTCACCTTCCCTGGAGTCAAGGTATTTTCTTTCGTGTGTAAATAAAGGTTAAACCAGTTTGGCATGTACAGTCGGCGTGCTCGGAATCAAACCCTCTGATGAAACATTGCATCAGATTGAAGGAACCTGAAACACCTGTGCCACATGTGTAGAAATCATCAGCTTAAACTTCATAATACAAAAGTGATATTAAATCATTTCAATGCCAACATGAAATCAGAATGGACCCCATGTACTTACATTTTATTTAAAAAAACATCTGATGTTATAATGTTAGTCTTTCATCAATGAACAAACCCCTAGGGTTTCATCAACCCTTGTTGGGAAAACTGGACAAAATGGTCATGTTGCTGTTGATTAGAAAGTACAGTAGTGTTCATAAGTTGTTTGTGAAAGAAGTCTCTTGTATTTATTTGATCAAAAATACATTAAAACAGTAATATTGTCCAGTATTATTACAATTTAAAGTAAAGTAAATTTAAAATATTATTTATTCCTGTGATCAAAGCTGAATTTTCAGCATCCAGTCTTCATTGTCACATGATCCTTCAGAAATCATTCTGATATGCTGATTTAATGCTCAAATATCAATGGTGCTTATAGTTATTATAAAGGTTCTCATTATTTTTTGCTGCTTAATATTTTAGTGGAAACAGTGATACATCTTTTTCAGGGTTCAAAAGAAGTAGAAATCTTTTTCTACTTTTCACTTTTGTTCAATTTAATGTATCGATGCTGAATAAAAGTATTGATTTCTTTAAAAAAAAGTTTTACTGAAGTGTACAGGCTGACCTCTGTTATAACTGGAAGTGTCACTTTATCAGTATTACTCTAGAGAATAATGATATTCTGCTCATGTGTGTGAAATGCTGGAGTGTATTTAGGAACATGTTGTTCTTCGATATTTTGTCATGCTGAACCAACCTAGTGTTACATATGCTTTCCTCAGCCTCATTCAAACCTAATACCATCAACCAGATGCTGCAGACAAGCAAAATATATAGTTTTTCCGCCGGCCATTCAAGCATGTCATACAAATGGAAAAAAAAAACTCATCAATATTACATCTTGTCTTTGTCTCTTTCTCTTTCTCCAGCTGATATATGATGCCGGGGTGTCGTTTACTGTTATCATGTGGACGTGGGCCGGCCTGGCAGGTCTGGTGTGGCTCAACTGTTTCCTGAACTGGCCAGCAGAAGGGTTTGCTACCCCTGAAGAGATTATGTTAGTCCAACATTTTTGTTACCTATATACCCCTCAATGATTACATGAATACTCAGTAGTGTTACTTAAAAAACAGCCTACCTAACTTTTTTTACCCTCTTTGAGAGGGAATCTCTGGCACCTTTAATTTGGAGAATTTCAACTTCTGAATAATAATTCCTAAGTAATTCCTTCCTTTTCCAACCATTTATTAGGGAAAAGATGCATTCAGCTGAAAACCACAAATTGTCTCCAGTTGAAGAGGCGACGGGAGAAACCGAGAAACTGTCTGCTGTAGCTCAGGATATACAACGTGAGACACTTTGAGATGAAGTGATACATTTTTTGAGACACTTGTTACACTTGTGTGAATGTGTAGCTGAATCTAACATCCTGGAAATCTTTTTCTCAGCTTCTGTCCCGTTCCGTCGCTCTGTGTTCTCCCCCATCTTCCTGTGGAGTCTGATCACTATGGGAATGACTCAGCTAAGAATCATCTTCTTTATGGGAGCCATGAACAAGATGCTTGAGTTCATGGTCACCCACGGAGAGACAAGTAAGCTGAGTAAGTGAAGCAACACAACTTGTGCATTATCACTGTATTTATTAAACCTGCCATCTGTCCAGGTGACTTAAAATGCGTTTCTGTCTTGTTTAGCCCCTGAAGAAGAGAAGGAGGCAGAGCTGAAAGGTGAGACCCTTAAAACTTTTGTTAGTTTGATGATTGAAACTGATAATGTGATTAAATGTGCTGATTGTGACTATATTTTAACTTCCAGTGAGTTTCTACTCGTCCATCTTTGGCACACTGCAGCTCTTGTGTCTGGTAACCTGTCCTCTGATTGGATACATCATGGACTGGAAGATGAAAGAGTGTGAGGTGGATCAGAAGACAATGGAGAGAGAAAAAGAGTAAGGAATTGAAGTTCTTTTGGTGTCAGTAGTCTCTTCTCTGATGATGTGTTTAGTGGCGCGAGGGCAACCTGTGACTCACATGAGATCCACCAATAGCAAACCACAAACCATCCAATCAATTCCCCATGGACAAAATCAATCCCCGCCCTACATTTGTTCTTGTTTGAGAGGCCGTTTCACTCAGATATACGTCACAATCGTTCTGTAAAAATCATTCTTCTTTGACTTCTTTGTCTCCTGCCAGAGCTGTTGCTGTACCAAAGCGTGACAGAAAGATCCAGAAGTTGACCAATGCCATGAGAGCCTTCATTTTCACAAATGTTCTGCTCTTTCTGTTTGGAATCCTCTCACTCATAGACAACCTGCCTCTGCAGGTAACAACATAATCGACCTCATTCACACTGTTAGCAGGCTAAGTAGCTCACTTTATGAGTGGATTGATGGATATTCCAGTATCATATTATATATACACAACCAATCAAACCTTTGGGGTCGCTAAGTTTTTTTCCAAATGTTTTTGAAAGAAGTCTCTTATACTCATCAAGGCTGCATTTATTTGAACAAAAAATACAGTAATAACAGTAATATTGTGAAATATTAGTACAATTTAAGATGTTTTCTATTGTAATTATTTTCAAATGTAATTTATTCCTGTGACGGTAATGCTGAATTGTCAGCATCATTACTCCAGTCTTCAGTGTCACATGATCCTTCAGAAATCATTATAATATGATGATTTAATTCTCAAGAATCATTTCTCATTATTATCAATGTCGATAAAACAGTTGTGCTGGTAAATATTTTTGTGGAAACGTGATGCATTTTTCAGGATTCTTTAATAAATAGAAAGCTCAAAAGAACAGCATTTTATTTGAAATAACTTTTATTCAGAATTCAAAATTCTAATTCAAATAAGTTTATTAAATAAATCTGACTCCAAACGTTTGAATGGTAGTTTATTTGCATAGGTTAAAACTGGCTTAATTACAGTAGATGTGTCATCTGGTTATGTTCTTATAACTGTCATCCTCTTTGTCCAGATTCTGACGTTCATTTTGCATACTATGGTACGAGGCTTCATTCACTCCTGTTGTGGAGGCCTGTATGCTGCTGTGTAAGTACACACACACACACACACACACACACACACACACACACACACACACACACACACACACACACACACACACACTAAACCTGTTGTTTAAACACACACAAGTTCAGACTTATCCTGCTCTTATAATATCAAAAGGTTATAAAATTGCACTTGGCAGGATCAGGTTTACCCTGTTTGTGTGTGAAGTAAGTATAGCATTGAGTATGTGTAAAATTCAGACCCAGTGACGGCCATTAGTGTCACACAGGCAAATGACCATGATGCCCTAATGAAATCACACATGCACCTTTTGACCTGTCATTTAAATGCTACAACGCTTCATTACAATCACAAAAGGAAGAAACCTGCAGACAGTTCTCTCTCTCTCTCTCTCTTGCAGGTACCCATCCAATCATTTTGGCACTCTCACTGGGCTGCAGTCTATGATCAGTGCTGTGCTGGCTCTACTGCAGCAGCCCCTCTTCATGATCATGTTGGGACCTCTGAATGGAGATGCTTACTGGGTAAGAAATGCAATTTTTACCTGCTATATTTAGGAAGTTTCCAGAATCAGAAGATCCAATTCCTATTTAAATCTATAGCTCAAATCCAAAATGAAGTGAGATGCCTACCAAGACCACGTTAAAGGCATCATGGACCCGTTCCAAAAAGTAACAAGAAAATTATAAATTCTAAAGTTGCTTGTATTTTAATCCTTTGTGGTGAGGGCAAACCCAGAATGCATTGTGACAAGCTCTGTGAAAATTTTTTTTCAGTTAGGATGCAAAAAAAACATTACTCTTATTTTTTCTTTAGTGTAGGCTGTAGACAGCAAGGCTTGTGTTTATGGGTCTTTTCAGTGATAAATAACTATTATGCAATTTTATATGGTAAATTTATTCTCTTTCAATCCGATCAGATCAACGTGGGGCTTCTGATCTTCTCACTGTCCGGTTTCCTGCTGCCGGGATACTTGTTCTTCCACCGCGGACAGCTTCGTCATACGAGGGATGAAGGAAAAGCTAACGGACACATTCCTGTTGAGGATCAAGCTGTAAACCAGCCCCTGACCAACGGACACAGCAACGGTCACGTCCCGCAGGAAGCTTAACTCAATAATGGAGCATCACAGGACTTTACACATTTCAACCGCATCGGCAGGAGACGTGACAAACTCTGCCATTCCCAACATCCTCATTAAACACGCAACTTTTTCATTTTTTGTTGTATGCGAGACATGTGGTTGATGCTTGCAAGAGCAGATATCAGATCAGTATTGTCTTGTTCAGTGATCTGCCGAGTATCTGTATTAAAAATCTCAAAATCTGCCTGTGAAAAGTATGCAATGCTTTCACAAGTTTTTAGAGGACTATTTATTGAACTGCGCACACGTTGGCTGTGATTGACGGACATGAACTACCTCAGCCAACCGCTGGACTCACAGAGGGAGCGGCTTCTGCCTGTTCAGCGTCTGCTCTCCTTCACAGAAGAGAAAGAGTGTTGATTATTGTGTGTATTATAGTGCCTGTTTTTCTGTCTATGATTGAAAACTCGAGAGACAAGCATTTCAGCGAACACCAAAGACACTGCTAATGGAGCTTTTTAAAGTGTATCACTTTATTCTCCTCTTTTAGTTTCACTACATTACGTGTTGTCCCAAAGCAAAAACATTTCAGGCAGATTTAACAAGTTTTTTTTTATAAAGCAACAGAAATGAATTGTTTGTGTATTCAGCTTTTTTCCCTCGGTGTATTTCATTGAAAGGGAATTAGATTTTTGTATTTCTGTTATTGTGATATCGTTTATCATTTAATGCGTATGACATGTAAGTAGATGTGCTTTGTATATAATACAACTTGTATTCGTGATATTTGCGTAAGCTTGTGGGATGTGATGATTGGGTGTTTTTTAAAAGTTGGGAACTAATGGCATGTCAATATCAGTTTTCATTTATTTGTGTGAAACTAGTGCCTTATGTTATTATTTAAAGTCATCATTTAAATCTCAATTTTAGAGACGTGGGAAACCAAAGCCATTTGAACTTACTGGACATGGAAGCATTAAAGCCATATGGGACTATTGGAGATGCAGATGTGCGAGAGGAAGAGAGTATCCATGTACCGAGTGCAAGAATGTCAGATTTGAAATACCAAAAACATTAAAAAAAAGGCATAGAGCTATTGTGAATGGTTCACTTGTCTTCAATTTAAGATTGTTATTGTCTTCATGGAGCATGTCTCCATCTAGTGGTTCCTGCAATATTTTAGACAGTGTTATTTTAGCATTATTTATATACTGTTATTTATTAGATTATATTTTTTATTATAATATAATAAGAGTGTTTTTACATAGAAATTACAATTACAGAAATAATGTTATATACACTGCACGGACAAAAAAAAAAGTTGCTGTTTGGATTTAAATGAGCAAATGCTGATTGGATCATAATTGCAGTGATTAATGTTAGGAAGACACATCATGGCCATATTCCAGGATGACAATGTCAAGACTCAGAATGGTTGGGAGGAGCATGACGAATCATTGTCACACATGAATCGGCTCCTCTGAGTCCAGATCTTAAATTCAGGGAAAGTCTTTGGGATGTGCTGGAGGAGACTTTACAGAGTGCTGGACTCTTGCATTGTCAACAAGATCTGGACCAAAAATTGATGCACCTCTTGATGGAAATAAATGTTGTAATGTAGCTGTTGCCAAACATATAACATGCTAGAAACATAATAATCACTGCAATAATTATCCAATAGTAAACACCTATTTAAATCCAAACAGCGACTTTTTTTGGCGGGACAGTGTTGTGAATACAGAAGAACCATGAATGATTTTTTTTTTTTAATTATAAACAAATTCGAATTAATATTGAAATATATGTTCGGTCATAATAACAAGGTGAAAATTTGGGGCTGTATTTCTTATACCGCAGAGGCAAATCCGCCTCCGATCCCGTTCCAGGGGTTCCCCGTTCCCGTTTACAGACTGTTCATAAGCTGCTCCAAAATGAGTGTAAAATGTCAGACAATAAAAGTTACTCAGACCATTCAAATCGTTTTGCTAGACAAATCCAGTATAATTGATAAATAGGCTTTAAAGTTTTTGTTACTTTGTTTTATCATAAAATTAATCTACATGGGGAAAAAGCTGAGAGCGAAGCTCAGTCTAAACTATAGACTGACATTCCCGTTTGCCCGCGTGCAGTGTTTGTTTAGTCTGTCAGGTCACGAGGTGCGATTTTATCAGCTTTACTCTCTGTGAATGCTTCCTGTCAGTTAACTTTGACGACCTGCAGCCAGTTACTAAGCACTACTCATTCAGAAATGCTGTCCCAGGCCCTGTGAAGAGGGGACAACTACTCTCTCTCTCTCTCTCTCTCTCTCTCTCTCTCTCTCTCTCTCTCTCTCTCTCTCTCTCTCTCTCTCTCTCTCTCTCTCTCTCTCTCTCTCTCTCTCTCTCTCTCTCTCTCTCTCTCTCTCTCTCTCTCTCTCTCTCTCTCTCTCTCTCTCTCTCTCTCTCTCTCTCAACATTGCCCTCTCCTGACTGAATAATGTGTGACTGTTCCAATTTTTTTCTCTACTGCCAATCATGCTGTAAAAAAAAGCTCATTTGAAGCATGTGTAAAGAACAAAGTTTATTGATTCATATTTTCTTTATATTCAGAAAAAAAAAATGGCATACATCTTCAACAATCAAGTCTTTGTAAACATCAGTCAAACACACTGGTCCATATCAGGGTCTCTAACACTGTTCAACATGCTTTCATACGCACGCACGCGCGCGCGCGCACACACACACACACACACACACACACACACACACACACACACACACACACACACACACACACACACACACACACACACACACACACACACACACACACACACACACACACACACACACACACACACACACGTTCTATCTCAGGCTGTTGCTGTTGGTTTGAGATCCAGTAAGACCAGGATGATCAGGACTGTGTCGATTCTGAGAGAAAAAGAGGGTAAAGCAGATGTTTCAAAAGCATGCACAGAACATACTGGGATCTACAACTGAGACGGATCAAAGCAGTTTACAATGTCCAGCAAGATTATAGGCAAAATATTCTACAGCGTGGTTTGGGTGGCATTTTTTCCCCCGGATGTTATTGATATCGAAGTTTATGTATTTATGCATTAAATATCTTATTTTTTATTGTAGTATTATTTCTATACTATTAAAGCATATAAATAGTATATACATTTAATATTTATTAATATTTGTAATGTATTTATATTATTTTTAGTCTGTTTTCTTTTGTGCTTTTTTCGTTTATTTTTAATTTGGTTTTAATTTTAGTAATTAAACCTTTATTTTGCTAGTTTATCTAATATTTATATCCTTATTTCTCATTTTATTTGTAGTTTTTTTTTGTTTTTTAATCTAATATTTTTATTTTAGCTTTACATCCATTAACGAAAACATTTGTAGTTGTTTTAGTTAACAGTACCACTTATTTTATAAAAATAAAATAACTTAATTCTTTAAAAAGCTGCTATAAATATGTAAAATCAGAAAGTGCATTTACACATTGATTAAATTGGCAGAATCAGAATTAAAGTTTTAGATACACATTATGAATATAAATGAACAAACGAAAATATGAAATTACAAAATCTGCAACTTAAAATTAATTATGAAATATATACTCTTGCATGACAAGGGCAATGTTTAAAGGGTTAGTTCACCCAAAAATGAAAATTCTGTCAGTAATTACTCCCCCTCATGTTGTTCCAACCCCGTAAGACTTTCGTTCATCTTCGGAACACAAATTAAGATATTTTTGATTAAATCTGAGAGCTGGATCACTCCTCCATAGGCTTCTTAAGGGATCGAAACTGGCCGGCCCAAAAGTTAAGAAAGACATGGTTAAAATAGTCCGAGTGACTACAGTGGCTCAACCTTAAGTTTATCAAGCGACGAGAATACTTTTTGTGCGCAAAAAAACAAAAATAACGACTTTATTCAACTAATCATTTCCTTCTCTGTACGGCCGTGATATTTCACGTAGTGATATTGCGCAAAGCTTCTAGGTTGCACGTCACACGTAGGCTCACTACTGGCCGACGCTGGTCATGTGTGTGATGCGTGTGATGTATAACCTAGAAGCTTTGCGCAATATCACTACGTGAAATATCATTTCTGCGCAATCTCATACCTTTTTTTTCTTTTTGTCTTTCTTTTTCTTCTTGCGATCAGGGTCATCATCCCTCTTTTTCTTCTTCTTCTTGGGATCAGAATCTGAAGGGGTTTCTGCACAGGAAAACACAGGTTACAGCCAAGTTAATGCATGCACGTATGCGCAGAGACTAGCAGCATGTGAACATGTCTCGGGTTAGTACGTCACCTGGTGGTAGAGGATCCTGCGGTCGATGATGTCTGTGTTTGTGTTTGCTCTTTTTCTTTGGCGGCTGTATGTGCATCAGTCTGTATTGCTCTGGAAGCTACAGCACACACAAACACTATAAACAACATGAAGCTTTAAGATGTTTAAACAATATGCTGTCTAGGCATACAGCTCACTACTTGTGCAGTAGTTTACCGGGCCAGTGTGTAGTCTAAATCCAGTGAGTAGAGCTCCTGTCAGTGGACTGAAAGAGTTTCCACAGACCGGATTTTTTTCTATGAGAGAGCGCAGAGAACTGCCATCTTGAACCCCTGGACAGTCTATCATACCTGCAAGAGAGAGAACACATCTTAGTGGCAAAATGCTATGATAACACCACGGTATATGTCAAAAAACCATTTGTGGCAAGATCATTCACGGAATTCATTGGATATTATTATGCATCTCTCTCTCTCAAATTGCCTTACCTGGTAACTCTGGTAAGAAGTTGCTCAGTTTCTCCTTCACTTTCTTGCCGCAGAATTTATTATACGCGTGTTCCAGATTATAGTGCGTAATGAGGTTCGTGTTTCCCGTCAGGTCGTTTCCAACTGAATCAGAACAAACACAAAAGCTGATCCAGATGCAGTATACCATGTTACATAACATTGTTACAAATCACACATACTCGAAGGTCTTCTTAATCACTACAGAAGTATTTACCAGGCAGTTCTCGTAGTAAATAGAAAGGTTCGTTCATGGCTCCGGGTTTTCGCAGTGTAGGCCCCTCATCCGCGTGCTGTGCTGGAATATGAGCCGCCACAGGCGCTTGGTTGGGCGGCATAGGCGGCGGAGGTTTTCCGGGGGCGAACCCCATCGCCGTCGGCCCCGTGGGTGGCTGTGCATCATTTTGTCCGAACAAAGATGAAAATATTTCCGTCATAACCCCTGAAATTAAGTCATTTATATATTTTTATAAAACTAAGTTCAAATAAAAAGGCCAGAACTGCTGCCGGTCACACGGGTTCTGTACTGTGTGTTCACTGTTCAAGCACCTCTCACATTATCAACAACAGCGGTACCATAATAACACGATCATAAGCGCACTCAATTTTATTAAAGGGATAGTTCATTCAAAAATGAAAATTGCTGTTAATACTTACCCTCATGTTGTTTTATACCTGTATGAGTTTCAGTTTCTTCTGCTGAACACAAAAGAAAATATTTTAAAGAACGTTGGTTAGCGGACAGTTTCGGCACCCATTGACTTCCATAGTAGAAACAAATGGAACATTACTAACTTAAAAGATCTCAATAGGCTTTTAACAAGAACCTTTTTAAAAAACACCCTAGTTTCTGTAAATAAAATAATTTGAAGCTTGTATTATTTATTTTTAAAGATCATAACATCCTTGTGGGCTGTATTCTCAAATAAGAACCAGAATTGAAAGAAAAGATTCCCTTGCACAAATTTCCACCAATATTACAGCTCTTTATAAATACAATATTATTATTAAAACTGGTAACATAGCACTGTCAAAAAATATGCTTCTTATAATGCAAAAGGAGATCCTGTATTAATATATTATATTACAATAGTAGTTATTTTCTATTTAAATATTACATTTATATTAAAATCTTGTCCATTGGAATAATTCTCTTCCGAATACTACAGTAACAGCAAATTATGTATTTTTCTTTTATTTATTCTTTACACCGAGACAAATGAAACGCAACACTGTTAAAAAGTGCATGAAATGTTTAATGAATAGAGTACACATACTAATGGCATATTATAACACAATAAACCATGCAGATGCACAATAAGTTCATATTCAAGCTTCACTTAATCAAAAAAAGAGAGAGAAAAAGATATTCAGACTATGGATGTTAGAGAGACCCAAAGTTTTCAGATGAGGAAAGAGTCAAAACAAATGGTTCCAGATCTTCAAGAGATGCCTGCAGGTGGAGAACAAGAGGTAAAGCTGAATCTGTGGTACCATATGGCAATGGAAATGTGTGAGTGTCTCAAGGAAATCAGTTTTTCCTCTTACCCTCCATTCCTCCACTCCTGAGGCAATACGCTGCTCGGTGTGTGTGATGTTCTCTCGGCCGGCCTGCACCTTCTGAGCAAGAGCAGCGTTCTCCTTCTGGAGTTTCTTCAGCTGGATCCGCATGTACTCCTCCTGCTTCTTATAATATGACACTAAATCACTGCACACATCCTGCTCTGGAACACCACTCGGACGCCTGCAATACATAAAGGTTCAAAACAAATATATTAGTTCATTTAGAGGGATAATAAGAGAGAGATAGTAGTATTTAAAGCTGCAGTCCGTAGCTTTTTTGGGTTAAAAATGATCCAAAATACATATTTGATAAAATACATAACCAGCCAGTGTTCAAAACTCTCTGCTTGCCTTAGCTCGATTCAAAGCGGTAAGCTTGTAATAATGTTTTTAACTCCAGTGGTACTGGTGGATTTCCGCGGGAGATTCGAGCATGTCTTTGCATCATTACGTCACATCTGTACACATAAAGAAGGAGTCTCGGCTAGTATAAGCTATTGCGTGTGAGGATGCTGGAGGTGGAGATTTATACCCTTTTCTCACAGCACTTGATATAATTAAACTTATCAATTTGATGGCGGATCCAGAAAGGTTAAAACGACAATCACCAGTGACAACTGGAGATTCCCCCGTTGTAAAATGCAAAAGACTTTGTTCGGACTTCGGAGTGGCGACAGAAAAAAAGAGACCGTAACCGGACCCATGCGAAAACAAGGATACATATCGGAAGGGCATTACATGTAGTCACGCAATGCTGACGTTGTTAACATTAACAATTTGAGAACAAAGTATAATTTGCACGGTTTTGCGTGATATGATAACTTATAAGCGATTGTTAGATTTAATCAGCGTGATTTACTGCAATGTCAGAACCAGAACAAAGGTGGATGTTACTTACTAGTTCAGATGATATTTTCTGGTGAAAATTCTTATGTTGGTCATACTTCCAAAAAGAATAATAATTTCTGAATGCCAGTATCCACACCCACGCGGTGACTGACAGCTGCACTGCACACTCTCCTCAAACATTGTGTTCATCCGCGCTGTGTCGTGTCGAGGGTGTAGAACTACAACTCACGTAAAGTTGATAATTCCGCGAATGACTGCAATTGCAGATTTCGAACAGAGATGGCGACAAAGAGAAAAAACGCCGGACTACAGCTTTAAAGACAGATCGTTTTTGAAGGAGATGTATGTAGTTCCTGCGACACTAGTGGCACCAAGCGGCATTACAAATATAAAGCATATTTTCAGACAACATGGCAAACGTCACTTTCGCACCTCCCCGGCCCTCCCCCAAACACAGCTCCTAATGGGTGCTTCTGAAGGCATGTCTCAACAGGTACTTTCAATAAAAGCTCTAACATATTAGGAATACTTTTCATTTAGTATCATGATTAAGCAACTGACTAGGTTAACACTGTAGAGCGATTGGGAGCATCTAGCGGATGAGTTATAATAAACCCATCTGCACCAGGTGCATTTTTGACATGACCTGGTACATTTGCCTTTCTGAAAAAGTGGATGATGATGTTGTATTGAACCGTCCATCATAGCAGCGCAATGCCCCGCTCGCTTTGACGTGTTCGTGACCCGTTTAATCATTGAAGGTCTATATGTGGTGAATTTTTGCTTTCTCTTCTGTACCCAAAAGCTAAACGTCTTTTTCCATGTAATGCTTCAGTCATGATCTCACAGCGGCTAAACACCCTTTGGCTCCGCCCACTACAGTAGCCACGCCTCAAACTCACACTATTGGTTAAGCTGGACACGACAGTGATTGACGAATCTGAGCGGACCGCTCTCAATGTTTAGTGGTAACTGGGAAGCTCAATGTTTTCACATTTTGGGGAGACAAACCCATGAATGTCATACTAGTATTAGTCAATGAACAATAAACTGGGTTAATATAATGTAAGTGAAATTAATCTTACATGCCTCCCCTTAAATTTAAAGCATTAAAAATACACAATATTTGAATATTCAACTTAACCAACAAGAGGGCCTAATGGAAACATGGGATAATCTGGCTACTTAACAAACGTTACAAATGGGCCTGATTTGTACAAAGAACTTGTACCGAATAACAGTGAAGAAAATCAAGTGAAGTGGGGCATTCAGCAGTTGTTATTATTTGACATATCAGTAGTAGTAGAGATTTTAATGGCATGTCAGCAGCTGAGGCTATTTTCATGGTAAGAGCAGAGTTGCATAAAAGGAATAAAAATACAACCCCCCCCCCCCCCCCAAAAAAAAACAGTATAAAAGATACAGCAGTTAAGAATGACACAAGATCAAACAAATCTGGTAAAAACTTACTAAAAAAGAGCTTACTAAATAAAAATCTTGTGTGCTTGCATTAAAAGCAGGACAATTATTTGACATCAGACAATACGCTGAGTTTCTTTTGCTTTAAAAATCCAGATAGATTTTTTTTTTAATTCAGAGCAAAGGGATCGAATACATCAAACCCATACAATCAGATTTCTATAGTATAATAAATTGTCTGCAAACCAGGTAGTTCCTTTAAAGGAACAGTTCACCCAAGAAAAATTTAAATTCTGTCATAATTAAAAGAATGCAGTCCATTTACCATTTGTATACAGTACATAACTGTATATAACTATTTTGTAGTAATATCATGTTACTGTTTTATTGTAGGAATAAGGCCTATTTTGGTTATTGTATGTATTGTAGAAACAAGACTCAGTGGAGTCAGGAGAGCATCAGTCTGTGAACTCACCATGCAGCTCGTGGCATGTCTTTAGCAAGCTCCTCCAGTTTGTCCAACTCTTCAAGCTTCACCTGCAGGTCGCCCTCCTCAATCACAGAGGCAATTTCTTTCTAAACACAAAACATGATCAGAATGATCACTACTAAAACTGTGCACAGATACACTGCTAACATAAAGCAACATTTTGATCAAATAAACTGCTGAATGTTACACGGCTCAATCCATCAAATTACCCCCGTGTAATTTGTGCATCTGTTGTGAGATATGTGTAGATAATGTGATTTAAGACTGTCAAGAATGTGTGGGGGGGGATTAAGTTAGATTTTGCTTGAAGAAATTAGAAAATTAATCCCATTTTAGGACCATCAAGATTTACTTTAATTGTGACATTATTTTAATGAAAATTAAAGGCACAGTTATGCAAGTTTCGGCGCTAGAGTTTGATGATGTCGTGAATTAGGGTGGAATCATGGGAGTTTTCGTCTTCACCTCCACAGCCGATGGAAAGCAGTCCAATGAGACTCAGGCAGAAATCGTGTTCATCGGTGAGCTAATGTATCAAAGTTTTATTAACATTACTGTGGTGTGAAGCAGGGCGGAGCCGAGAGCCTGGGACATTTACATTGCTGTTTTTATTAAGCTTATATGCCTCCTCCACCTCCTTCACCCCTGAACTTGAACTTTGTGAGTTATGTTTGAACACTTAAATTCACATTATTTTAGTTCCTTCTAATGAAAGAGTCGCAAGTGCTGAATTACAAGTCATACAGGCCACTTTACTTGAGGAATTTAAAATGTGGGGTTATGCATTGCTGTTTTACTTGGTCAAAACAATCACACTAAAAATACATTTGAGTGTGTGAAAGTTGTGTTATAATGTTACTCTGTGCGTTCGCTCGGCGGCTGCTATGAGACACTTAGCACTGCAGTAAACTAGATCAATATTAGAATATCATATTAATAAAAGCTGGATGACTTGTGTTCCTAAGTGGAATGCAATTAATTAAAAAATATATAGTACGGTGGAGAAAATGCTGTATTATTCTAACTACAAATAAAGCTCTTTCTGATTATGTTATGTTTAGTTAGTTAACAGGGACATTGCACATTAATAACACATTTCTGTAAATACACCATAATTAGCCAAATGCTATTTTTCATCTGTAGTCCCTGGACATGTTACAAGTCACCCAGGAAAGAAATATGTGGTTAAAAATGCACACTAGTAGAATTTAATCAAATACATGAGACAATCCATAAAACCATCTATGATTAAATATGACGTCATTGACGGGCGACTAAATGACAAGAGCCGTTACACTGGTTAAAATATATACCGTAATACACACAATATGTAATGTGCATGCATTAAGTTACCTGTACTAAAGTCTGCAGTTGGCTGATGAACTGTTTGTGCATGGCTTCAGTCAGCTGAGGGTTTTGCTTTGACAGTGGCTGGAAATAGTGGGAAAACCTATCGAAACTGACACAGAGTGCAACTAACTTTAAACATTGAAGCAACTTATTAGTAACAGACAACAAAAACAACCAGTCTGAATGCGAATTAAGTGCAATTATCCGGGTTACCTGGCGTTGTCCAGCAGCCACTGCAGACTCTTCTCCATCACTTTACTGAAGAGCTTGAGTCTCGGTTTAGACTGAGATGACTTCACCGAATCATTGCGACGAGTGGATGCTTCTGACGAAACATCACCGACTTTATCCGCATTATTTTGAGCTGAAACAGATTCGCTGCTCTTCTCGGACTCCTCCATGTTACTGCCTTACTGTTGATATTTACAAAAATCCCCGCCAACAACACGCGCGTCACACTACGGAAAGCGAGCAGCTGCCAGTTCAAGTCGTTTTCTCGAAACGCGTTTATCTGGTCTGAAGGTTCATATTACCGCACTCACCCCTCAGCTGTCTTATGATCTATTTCTACCCTTCCCTTCTCTTTCCTTTACCACATGGGGGTTGGTTTTTACTACGGCTGCAGCAATGAGTTTAATTAGAGGCATTGTTTCCACTTTATACCATATTCCAAAGATTTATAAATGGTTTTATCGGCCCTATTACCTGCTGTCACTGCTGATGACCCTGGCGTTTCCACTCGTGCGCCGCTGTCCGGGACTGTGCGAGCATTTGCCCTCTCAGAGAGAAGACAACAACTCATGCGCCTTCGACTGGGTCAGTGCTGCAGCTCAGAGACACTCACTGGGAAAGCCTTCAGGAAACTGTCATGCTCATATAAAGTATTTTTTACTATAGCCTAATTTTATTGCAGCTTATTAACACTTTACACTTGTAGAAAAGTAACATACTGACATGTTTTTGGACCTTACTGCTGCATGCTGTGCTGTCTGTCCCTGTAAATAAAACAAAACGCAATATCTAAGTGTATTCTATAGCCTACCTACAATAATGTCATTGCATGCATGTGATACTTTTTTCAGGATTCATTAATGAGTCAATAGTAATGTGTCCAGACTTTTATATATATTTACAGCCTATGTGTTTATTTATTTGTATTATTATTGCTCCTTATAGAGGGAGGTGGAGATTTTAATGTTTCTCAGTGCCATTGTCATGATGAAGAACCGCAGAGCCAGTAAGTTCAGATCAAATATTCATGAAAAATATGTACATCGATGGTGCTTTATTTGAATTGAGGATTGATCTCTTTCCCTCTCAGTAACAGTGGAGCAACACATAGGGAATATATTTCTCTTCAGTAAGGTGGCGAACGTGGTGCTGTTCTTCCGAGTGGACCTGAGACTTGGCCTTCTCTACCTCACGCTGTGTGTGGGTAAATAAATGAAAATATGACACACTTGGAAATAGTCACGAGTACACATGTGATTGGGAAAATAACAGCATTACATAATTCTGTGATGTGCGATATTACACTTCTGATACTGTGCCTTCTCTATACAGTGTTCTTGATCACATGTAAACCACCGATCCACATGGGCCCCGAGTACATCAAATACTTCAGTGACTCAACTATAGATGTGAGTGGAATTCAGTCAGACTTCAGTGTATTTTACCAATATCTTCTTTTGCATGTTGATATGCATGTGTAACACTCAAACACTTCTGCTTTTTAACACTCTAAAAAATTCGGGGTTATTTCAACGCAAATTTGGGTCAAATATGGACAAACCCAAATGTTGGGTTAAAAATGTAATTACAAAATGTGCAGCTGAAAGTGAAGGTTGAAGTTGGGTAAATTACATTTTTAACCCAACATTTGGGTTTGTCCATATTTGACCCAGATTTGGGTTAAAACAACCCAGCATTGTTTAGAGTGAATGAACATTTTAATATTTATATTCTTGTTTTTATATTAAAACAAGCATTAAGATGTTTTTTCCCCTTTTCAATGTAATCATTTGTAATTTCAGACATTTGGACCATGAAATTTGCCATAATTTTTGTCCATTCCCGATATAATTATTATTTTTTTATATCACATGTCACTGATAAAAAGTAGCTATACAAGTCATCTGACAATACATTGCAGTTGTCAGGATCCTGTGTCATGTCTTTTATTTCGAAATTTGCAATCCATGCGTTCATGTTCATTTGTTGTATCCATGGTCTTAGTTCTTTTGCTCTTTGTAATTAGTTGTTCCCTGTTTTCATGTTTCAGTTAGCTATTTAAAATTGTGTCTATCCTTGCCCTTTGTGGATTATTGTTTGTTTGTGTGTATGTGCCTTTCATGGTTCATGTTGTTACGGGTCAATATCAAGAGCTACGTCTCATGTCATGTGTCCCACGGTCAAGTCATGGATATGTATCACGTTTTGAACCATTACCTTTTTATCTGCATATAGATCCAGATTCTTACTTGACTTTTGAGGCCATGTTACAGTTGTATAAACTCTGCTACTACTAAAGATTCCTCATTATTTAATTTAATGTCATGTTATGTCATGAAACTAATGTGCACATTATTGTATACAATGTCAGGAAGAACTGCAAAGGGACGGTCGTGAGACATGGATTGTTGAGTTTTATGCCAACTGGTCTCCAGAGTGTCAGTCATTTGCCCCCATTTTTGCTGACCTATCACTTAAGTAAGTCACACTACTAACACACACATCTACTCTTAATGAGGTTAATGACTTTGCCTGTGTTCAACAGATACAGCTGCTTAGGACTCAAATTTGGAAAAGTGGACATTGGACAATACGGAGCAGTTGCCGAGAGGTAAAGTAATCTTTATTTCTCTTCAAAGTCAGCATTAAACAGAAGTAGCAATAGTCTTTTCTTCCCTATATTGTGACGTATATCCAAGTGAAACGGATTCTCGAACAATGAACAAATGACTTCCGTCCATGGGGAATTGATTGGATGGTTGTGGTTTGCTATTGGTGGATCTGATGTGAGTGACAGGTTGCCCCGCCCTCGTGATTAAAGATCACATGAATTATAAAAAAACGAATGACAGGCACGGATAAATCATTTATGATAAATACTGCAATATTACATAGAAAATAAGATCGGTCCGATTTCAATTTGGCTTTAACCTCAACGTATTTTTAGCAACAGTCTTGTTAAGAGATGTATCTTGCTAAACTAGTTATGATTAAAGACAACACTGACAGTCCTGTGCTTTCATTCCAGGTATAAGGTAAACCCCTCGCCTCTCTGCAAGCAACTGCCCTCCCTGTTGCTACTGCAGAGTGGCCGAGAACTCATGCGACGCCCTCTGGTGGACAAGAAGGGACGGGCCATTGGGTGGAGCTTCACTGAGGTAAAAACTCCAACGCTCTCAAGATATACAGAGCAATTGGTTATTCTTCTCTAAAACATTCGCTTGTGTGTTTTACAGGAAAACATCATTCGAGAGTTCAATCTCAATGAGATATTCCAAAAATATAAGAAACTCAGCAAGGGAGAGAAGTCTGAGGAACCAAAGCCTCCCCTGCAGGAGGATCCTGAAGAAGAGGAGCTAGTCGGCCCTCATGAAGAAGAGGAGGAGGAGCCAGAGAGCAAAAAAGACAAATAAGACAGAACTGAACCGACACATGAATTAAGCATAATGAACCCAACACACGTGTTCTCCCTCTTAACAGATGGACTTAATAGTGCAACACATCTAAATACCTCACATGTGGAAAACCTTTCCTCCTCAGCTTATCTGCGACTTTCTTTTTAGTTCACAGACAACTTTTCAGGAAAACGATCTAAAAGTTGTCATTCAACACATAAACCTGCAATTTGCAAAGAGCCGTGTTTGCTTTATCACATTGTGACCTCTGGCTTTTATAATAAATGTATTCAGTACGGTTTGAACTAGGCCTCTTTGCATTCATTTTTTGCACATACAATAATTTTTAAACTGGATTATTCTCAGGGTGGTACTGTTTGATCTAAAAAAAATATTAGGCTTTAAACAAAAACACAATATTAAGTTAACTTCCACCAAAGATAAAATCCTGTCCGCGATTATATAATGCCAGCATCATAAACTAATGCACGAAGATGACATTTTATAGGCCATTTAAAATGTAACAGTCAGTTTTACAAACAGGACGTCCCTGATTCATCTCTCAATCCACCAAGGAGTTCTTGGCCTTGAAATGGTCAAACACTCCTGACTCAGGCTTTATTTTATGCTACATTTGCCTTTGAGGTTGAAAGGTTTAAAACTGCTGTGTAAATCATGTTTGTTCGAGCATTAGTTATTCATACTACTCATATTTCACAGTCTTAAAGGAATATCCCAAAAATGAACATCACTTATTCATACTCATGTCTTTCAAAACCCATATGAATTGTGATAAATTACAATATTTTGGGTGAACTTTCCCTTTAAATTGAGCAGCAAATCCAATCAACACACTATGGAAAAACATTAGTGAAATGAGGGAATTCCAGCAACCTCATATGAAGTTCATTATTGAAATCTTCTTAACGTTGATAACACAATCAAAGCTCTAGTGCTTTCTTTATTTACCTTGTTTCATATTGACGTGAATATCTGTGCCATCAGAACAGCTTTCAACATTGATAATAAGAAGAAATGTTTCTTGAGCATCAAATCATCATATTAGAATGATTTCTGGAGGATCATGTGACACTGAAAATTCAGCTTTGCATCAGAGAAATAAATTACATTTTAAAATATAGCAGAAAAACAGTTATTTTAAATTGTAATGATATTTATTAACAATATTACTGCTGCCTTGGTGAGCATAAGAGACCTCTTTATAAAACATAAAAAAAAATCACAATTATTTCACACTTTTGATCTATGAAACAAGCTTCAAAAAAGCTCTTTCCTGTGCACAGCTTCAAAAAAGACAACAATCCTCCCTGTCTGAGCCCATCTGTATTAGTCTCTGTTTATGTACTGTATATGAGCCAATATGTGTCACTCTCTCTCTCTTTCTATTGACATGTGAATCTTTGTGTGAGTCTTATTATTTGCTCCCGTTTGCCTCTGGAGCCTGGAGAGAGGGGTCTGAGTAACTGTGCTCCAATACTGTAGCATTATGGCACCTGGCAGACAGTGTGTTGGCGCGGCCGAGGACACAGAGACAGATTGAGGCTGACACAGCAGACCTTCACTTGGCGAATGGCTGGCACTGCCTGCTGTGCGGATCAGAGCAGGCCTCTATGACTCCACTGGGGGGGCCTGTCACCCTTTTGGAGAAAAAAAAAAAGGAGTGCTGCTAGACTTCAGTTCCGGCTGCAGGATGGTAACAACAACAGCGGAAAATGTTTGGAAATCCTTCACAGTTTGATGCCATATTCTAAATGTCATGGAGCCAAGTGTCTCACAAAGAAATTGGGGCATTTATGAAGGGCTCTTTAGAGTGTCAAACCTGATTTGAGTGGCAAGGATGATAAGGGATATTTTCCTCTTTGGTTATTAATGTTGAAAACAGTTGTGCTGCTTAATAAATTTGTGAATATTGTGCATTTTTTTCAGCATTCTTTTATGAATAGAAATTTCAAAGGAACAGCAGTTATTTGAAATAGAAAACTTTTGTAACAATGAAAATGTCTTTACTGACATTTTCAATCAATTTAATGTACCTTTAAAAAAAAATCTTACTGACCCTGAATGTTTAAATGGATAAATGTGCAGTATTTAAAATGTTGACTATAAAACGCAAAATGGCGCCAGTTACTTTGAAACAAAGGAGAGCAATTCCTCGTTGCAATACGAGACACATGAAATAGTTTTTTTTTTTTGTAATACACAATATTTAAAGGTGTTCTAAGCGATGTCGCGCGTTTTTTGGCCAAAACATTTTTTGTCACATACAGCAAACATCTCCTCACTATCCGCTGGCTGCCTGTCCTCTGAACACACTGTAAAGAAAAAGAAACGCGATCTCTGTAGACAGCCCAGGCTCCACAAACAGCAACAAAAACAAACTGCAGCGACCCGCTCCCCGAAACATGACAAACTGTTCCAGCCAATGACCGACAAGAAGGGTTTGGGGGTGTGGTTTGGGGGGTTAGTGTGCGGATGAGGAGGAGGGAGGGTCTAGCTAGCCTCCGTTTTGTTTGACAATAGTTCGAACGTCAACAAGAAGTGATGTCACCCAGGATCGCTTAGAGAACCTTTAATGTATTTCTTCTTGATGTAATAGGCCTACCCTGGAAATAATAATAATATAAAAAGACACAAGTAGTGCCGGCTTCAGTTACGTCATTGAACGAATTATCTGACTGCTGAAAAAAAAAAAAAGCTCTGACTGCTGGGTGATCAATTAGTAAGCCTATTCACAGATTCATGTTTTGTTTGTTTTTTGTTTACACGGAGACGATAATTGTATCGTTTTCAAAAACGTGCACTTTGCCAACCGTTTTCAAAAGTTTGAGTTTTAGGCCTGTTTTCAACGCCATTGTCGTGTTTATTAACGGCCAAAGCGCATAAAAAGTTTTACGCTTTTAGTTGAAAACGCTTTTTAACATTTAAACTAAAAGTCCAAGAAAACGAAAACACATTCCATTCATTTAGCAAACATTATGTGAACGTTTTTGAATGTTCTCTGAACATTCTGAAGCAAGGCTAACATTAAAAAACTAACATTTAAGAAAGTTCAATGTTCCATGAACAATGTATAAATCTTGTTTCGTGCTAACATTTTGAGAACATTATTAAAGACAACTTTGAACGACCATTCTATTAACGTTATCCCACTGCGCAATGTGACGTCAGAGTGACGTATTTTCCATGTAATTTTTGGACGTCCAATTTCGGTCCACTGAAGGGGTTGTTTTGTATCGCCAGGCGACGTCTTTATTCGACGTCTTTTGCACGTCTAATATTGACGTCGGTGGGACCAAATGTGGTGATTTGTGGACGTCTTTTCAACATCAAATTTAGTATCTTCTATAACTTCTATTACTGTAGTCCCATGTTTCAAAAGGGTAGAGGACGTTTTCTGTAGCATGTATTTACATTTATGCATTTGGCAGAAGCTTTTATCCACAGTGACTTACATTGTAGGCCTATTACACATTTAAATTCCTGCTTTCCCTGGGTGTTGCACTAGGTGGCCGTTACACAAGCGCCAACGCTCTACTGTTTGAGCTACAGCATTACACCTTTGTGTGTGTCAATTACCACCTTCTGCTGAGACAATAGGCTTTATGCACAGCTTCACTACTTCCTAAACTTCAGCCAGCCCTTTGTTTCCTGTCTGTCATTATTGGACAAACTGATTAATCCAGCTGTGCCTGCATTGTTACTGAGGCCAGGCACACCTGGATTAATCAGTTTGTCCAATAATGACAGACAGGAAACAAAGGGCTGGCTGAAGTTCAGGAAGTAGTGAAGCTGTGCATAAAGCCAATCAAATGGAGTTTTTTGGAAAATTATCTTAAATAATTATAAGTAATTTGTATTCCAATGTATTAATCATGTTGATAACAACAATGTTGATATTTGTAAATGTACATTTCCTGCACCTGTAATAGACGTCCAAATGAGGTCCAAAAAATGACCCAGTTCAACGGTCAAATGTTGAACGTTGAATGTCATGGTTGGACGTCCAAATAGTGGACCTAGTTTGGACGTCGAATATATGTCCAGAATGGACCGACGGACCCAATATAGACATGATCTGCACGTCTAGCCTATCCGACGTCCAGTGTTTAGTGGCTGGAAGAATTTTTGATTCATATAACTTTGAGAAAACCGTTCCCTGTCAGCTGGGAAGGCCAGGATCACCTGCTTAACTTCCCTCACTATATGTGCACTGTCAGTTGCTATCAGATCAGCCATGTTCAAGTCAAGCATTTGCAGTTCAGCCATGGCCTGGAGTCTTAATGTCATTTTGCCAAGCTTTCCAGCAAAAAGAGGGTTGCAGATGAATCTCAATAATGAGCCATGTGCTCCAAACAGCAGGATTCGTGTCTGGTCTCCTGTTCAAGCTGTGACTTTGAGTATGCTTGCTTTGCACCCAAACAAGGCAACAGGGGGCTTAAAGTGTGCTGCCCCATTTTATAATAGAGGATTATTTAAAAATCTGAATATTCAATCAGTAGGAAATAATTAAGGATACTCAAATCAGGCCTGCATCCGATAAGCATATTGATCAGCTATGGTCTGCAGGATATTGTACACTGAGCCAAGTGCAGAATATACAGTAGGATCCTTAATTAGAAGCTATAATTATGCCTGTTTAACGAGCCATTTATTGCAAGTTGTCCATGCACGTCGTGTATGCATGAAAATGTCAATTTATACATTCAGACATCCAGTCAAGTGAAGGACCGAAGGCAAAATGGCCTCCCATGCTGTGTTTCTGCACAGCTCATCAACCGGGGTAAAGCTAGACCTACTTCCACACACAAACCCCTCATCCTTGAGCTCAGTTTTGTAACTGGGCACTGGGTTAAAAGGATCTCTATGGAAAGCTTGTGAAAAGGCTGTAACCCTTGGCTCTGGGGATCTCTCTTTAGGAGCGTCTTGGAATAAATCGAGTGCTGTCTGAAAGGCAGCTGCATCAGATTGTCATGTCGTCTAATTCTAGAAATAGCTGTGAGGAGGGTTAGGGAAAGAGGCTGTCGGATTATCCGTGTTTATAAGAAATGCTTTAAAAAGATCTTGAATGATGCAAATAAATGCTCTTTGAACGGAAAATGTCAATTTCATCCTTGGCTTTTGGTGTGAAGGTTTTTTGTAGTTACGTTTGGCGCCATCTTTTGGTACTGAAACATTAAGCAGCCCAAACATATTTGATATATATATTTGATATATCCAGGCCTTATTTCTTCATTCTGATTTAACACCTTATAAATATTTCACACATTTTTTTTTTTTTCTTTTCAGCTGACTTATCTTAGAATATGAATATGTCGTCTGTGAATTTGGACCATGTTTGTAAATGAAGACTATGTGCATGTAACTTGTATTTCTATGATATCTAGTATTTTTGTATTTGATTGTTTGCATTTTGAGTCACAGTCACAGTGGTTATGTATGTTCAGATGTTTTGTTGTTTTGGCCAACTGTTGTTGTTGTTGTAACCCTGGCCTGGAACCTTCTAGAACCTTCTAGAATGTGAAAAGCTTCCCAAAGACAATAGAAATAGAAAGAGGCATGAAAAGACATTTTGTTTTGATTTTGTTTAATATTATTCATAATGTTCACTCCCATAATGATTATATTTGAGTTAATGCATATATGTAGGCTTTTATATATTTATTTGATGAAATCATTATTTAATTTAATTTTGTATTCTTTTTCTTAATGTGTTTTTATTTTTATTTATTTATTAATTTTTTATTTATTTAATAATGTGCTCATGTGAGGTTAACTGATGCTTTGAGGGGGTTTTCGGGCAGTTACAGTGGGGATTTTAGTTTCACATAGTTATGGTGGTGATTTAACATACTTTAAATACTTTTTTGTCTGTTTCTGTTTCCTAACCCAATGCTTTTGTGTGTTTTTAAAGCTTATATCACAGGAGCTCAATATGCTTGACTTCAAGGGATAGTTCACCCAAAAATAAAAAGTTTGTCATCACTTACTCACCCTCAAGTTTTTCCAAACCTGTAAGATTTTCTTTCTTCTGTTGAACACAAAAGAAGATATTTTGAAGAATATTGGTAGACAGTTGAAGGCAGCCATTGACTACCATAGTAGGGGGGAAAAAAATACTATTGTAGTCAATGGGTGCCGTCAACTGTTTGATTACCAATATTCTTCAAAATATCTTCTTTTGTGTTCAACAGAAGAAAGAAACTCATACAGGTTTGGAAAAAGGGTTAGTATGTGATGACAATATTTTCATTTTTTGGTGAACTATCCCTTTCACAGTACTGGGAATCGACTAAACCCCGCCTCGGTCTGCCTGATGGGGGCGTGGTCAAAGTATACAGCCAAACCCGAACCAATAGGCATTTAGAAAGCCGGAGCTCTGTGTCAGCACTGCCCAATAAGGTGATCCTATGTTTGGACATGGACTTTCTCAGAGTATATAATCTGGGAGAAGCCTGCGCGTCATTGCCTGACGCCAAGGGTTGGGGTGTGCAGGCGCAGAAGTTATCTTGCTTTAAACTTACATACTTTGAACTTTCTATTTTATTTTTAAACAACTTTATTTCATAAAAATCAAAGATTTATATATTTGTTTTTAAACAGATCATCAAATCTTCAAAAGGTAAGGAATATATTAATGTATTATTAATATTTCGGATTTTATAAATAAAAGCGCAGTGTATTACAATACGATGTTTTTTCAAGCTCTAACGTTAGATGTTTCTTTTAAACTGATGTTTGATCAGGCCTATAAATGTTCTCCACCACCGTAAAACAACAGAAGCTTCTCTATGGTCGTAACGTTATGCTAAAGGTTAAATATATGGCTTGGAAATGGAAGCTAAATTGTTAACGTGAATATATTGATTTAGTTTAACATTAGCTAAGTCGATTGAAACAAAACCAGATGAAGTTGAACGGCTTAAACGGAGCACAAACATCGTGAACTCGCTGGTTAGTAGCATAGACTGTTTGGTTAACGTTAGTGGACATGCCCCGACATGACCAGCGGGCCTCGCGCACGAGTGAGCCTGTAGTCTCGAGCTCTGACTTACACCATTGAGTTACGCAGAAAACAAAGACGACGTTGTAAAACATAAGCACTTTTGCGTTGAGTACATTGTCAACGCGTGGATATTGAAGTGTTTTATAGTTTCTTAACTGTGGACATGCCCGGACATGTGTTTAGACCCTCGCCTCTCAAAGCGCTCAAGATGAACACAACACTTGTTTAGCTTAAAGCGATAGTTCTGTCTGAAAACTATGTCTTTAATTACTCACTAATGTCATTCCAAACCCGTAATACTTTTGTTCATCTTAGGAACTCGAATGAAGATATTTTCAATGAAATTTGAGAGATTTCTGTTCCATTGACGCACCTACTACCACTTTGACTCTTCAAAAAGTTCATAAAGAGATTGTAAACCTAATCCATTTGATTAAGATTTAGTTAATTTTCTGAAGTGACTCGATCGCTTTGTTAACGTGTAAGAACCAATGAGGTTCATTGATTCTCGTGTTACGCAACACGTTTGAGCTTCAGAAAGAGCCAATGAGGTTCACGCATTAGGTATGTTCGGTTGAGCATTTGTTTGTTTGCAGATCAATGTTTATGTGAATTAAAAGCCTAAATTCAATCTGTTCGTCATATAAAGCGATCGAGTCTCTTCAGAAATTTTGGACTAAATTATACCGCTTGATTCATGGATTACTTTTACGATCTCTTTATGAACTTTTTTGGAAGTGTCAAAGTGTAGTTGCGTTGCTGTCAATGGAGGGACAGAAAGCTCTCAGATTTAATTAAAAATATCTTCATTTGTGTTCTGAAGATGAACTAAAGTTTTACAGGTTTGGAACAACTTGAGGGTGAGTGATTACTGACAGAATTTTAATTTGAGTGAACTAACCCTTTAACTTGTGGTGTTACAATGGTATCATTTGATGTCCTTTAAAAACAGGTGTTAGACTTTATTTTAATATTCTGAAATCAGATATTTTGGGAACACTTGAGCACTTGGAGGTGATTCATAATTTAGCCTACTTATGATTCATATTTACTTTATCTTACTAGTAGTGCAGAGGTCTGATGTTTTCAGCTTGTATTTGCATCCCATGTTAAATTGTCTGTATGGAAAACAGTCAAATAGAAGCATTCAACAAAATCCCACATTTGTACATGGCTGAATTATCCACAATGTAGAATTTATTTTTGCTGTTATCTTTAAGTGCTTTAGTTTAGCATTTATAATTTCATTCTTAACGTTGTTGTGTTATAATTTCAGATGATTGACAAGGTTACCGGAGCAGCGGCTTTGCCTTTTGCAGTCCAGCTCAAAGCTCTTCTGGACCAAGAAGCCAGATACCAGCCCAAACTCAGTGGACTCCGAGTTATCGAGTCTGCTCAGGATAATGGTCTGAGAATGACTGTCAAGCTTCGAGACTTTCAAGTGAGAGAGCTTCTCTCCTTGACACGATTCTTTGGCTTTAGTGGGGATACGTTCTCCCTTGCTGTGAATCTTCTAGATCGATTCCTGGCTGTGGTGAAGGTGTGTGTTTTTGGACAAAGTCAAATGTTTATTATACCAATGGGCCTAATCATCTCAGTATTTGACCTTCTGAATATGAATCAAAGAGGTTTTATATATGTAGGCCCCTGTCTTTTCTTCAGATTCAACCCAAGCATCTGTCATGTGTTGGTCTCTGCTGCTTCTACATCGCTGTGAAGACTTCAGAAGAAGAGAGGAATATTCCTTTGGCCAGTGACCTCATCAGGATCAGTCAGAATCGCTTTACGGTCCATGACATGATGAGGATGGAGAAGATTGTTCTGGAAAAGCTCTACTGGAAGGTCAAGGCTCCAACTGCCCTTCACTTCCTCAGATTCTTTCACTCTCACATTCAAGAGAAGATGGACGCAGAAAGGTGAGCGGCTCGACTTTGTGTGTATACAATGCAGTTCAAAAGTTGGTAAGAATTATGTAATGTTGTGGAATATTATTACAGTTTAAAGTGTCTTTTTTCTATTTTAATACATTTCAAAGTGTAATTTATTCCTGTGATCATTTCTGCTCAAAACATTATCAATGTTGAAAGCGGTTGTGCTGCTTAATTTCTGTGGAAACCGTGATGTTTTTTTGTTTTTTTTGGTTTCTTCGAATAGGTTAAAAAGAAAAGCATTTATTTGAAATGAAAATCTTTTGTAACATTATGAATGTCTTTACTCTACTGTCACTTTTGATCCATTTAATGCATCCTTGCTGAATAAAGTTAATTTCTTAAAGGAAAAAGTCTTTCTGACAGTCATTACCCACATGTTTGAATGAGTGTGTTTCTTGAAAATAAGCATAACTTGCTTTAATTTATGTAGTTGGCCTACTGAAATAATGTTTCAATGTATCTTTTCAGTAAGAGGATTCTGAACATTGAGAGGCTTGAGGCTCAGTTGAAAGCTTGCCATTGCTCCTTTATTTTCACTAAAATAAAGGTAAGCTCTTTGGACCATTCTACAGTTCGATTTCTAAACCAAGTCTGTTTGGAGTTTGACTAATTCTGTTTCTACAGCCTTCACTGCTTGCTTTGTCCCTTCTGGCCCTGGAGATCGAGGATCAGCACGAGTGTGAGCCAGTTCCGGCTCTGAAAGAGGCTCTAGATGCTCTACAGGAGCGTTTGTCTGTGAGTTTCCTTTATTTGGATACAAGCTGATTTACTGATTTCCACAAATGGCTGCTGCTTAACTCTTTCTCCGCCATTGACGGAATCTTCCGGCTTTCCGTGTTTTCACTGTTAACGGTTGAGGGTGCTATTGCACATTTTCTGAAAGATTACTGAATCTCCTGATCGAAACTATCGATGGCGTTATGTAAGCAGATGCATATGTAAAATAACCTGATCATTAGGGGTGGGCGATATGGCAAAAAATCATATCACGATTTTTTTAGATTCCCGATTCTTTTTAATGTTGGTTTTTACTATTTTGCAAGTGACTGAGCATTACAGTGAAACTAAAGTCCCTATTTTAAAACCAAAGCCTTACAAGGTAACAAAATAAAAAAGAATGCCAGACATTTAGGCCAAAGTGGCAAAGATAAAAATCTTTTATTTTTTTTTAATAACAAAATAAAATAAAAACAGACACATTACATATACACAACATACAAATGAAATAAAGTGCTTTATTTTTACAGCTACAGTAGGTGTATTTAAAGTCACAGAAAAATGCCACCCAGCCAAATTTGAATGATAAGAAAGCCGGCAAGTAAATAAAATAAGCTATCAAAATCTTGAAAAAATGAGCAGTAGTCTCTGCTCTCAAACGCCTGGGGGCGTGTCCGCTGGCTGCGCTGAAACCACGCCCACTCGCGGGAATCATATTGATGCATATATATATATATATATATATATATCAAAAAATCACGTTAGCGGGTTGCAGAATTTAGTAGTTACTGTGGACTACCTACTATAATAACATAAGCACTCAAGGCAACTTGCACTCACTCATTGGTGGGCACGCACTGCCGATGATGGCACCAGTTGTCGGCGCGACGGGAGATGAAGGCTGAGGCGGGAGTCGGTTCGGCCCCATTCACCAGTAACAGCGGATTATCAGTGAATCCCAGTTGTCTCTGACAAAAGGTTATAAAACTATCCTGTGTAAAATGATCACTACAGAGGCCGGTGTTGGTGGTGATCCTCAGCTCTCCATCAAGGTGGCTTTTCACAAAATTAATCCACCTCTTCTTGATGTGATCGTTTTTTGGAAATTTAAATAAGAACACCGATCTGTTTTGTACGTGATCGCATCCAGGTAATGCGCATTTCCGTGATGAAGGCATAGCTAGCTAGCAAACTGTAGGCTGTAGTAACTAATAGTACTGACGGTAACTCGATTGAGAGGCGAACTGATGCGAATGTGCTCTATTGTTAGGGGAGGGGCCAGCCTCAGTGCATCATCAAGTAGGGGCGTGTCCAGGAGCTCAGGGGCTCCAGTGCGTCATCAAGCCCCCGTTTTAGCCCCGCCCAAAAAATCCGGAAAATAGCAATGGTGAAAGACTGTTTAATGGTCTAACTCCACAATTCAGTACTTCAGTTCATAGTCTTTGTAATATGTGTTAGCAATACATTTCTAATGTTTAGAACTTTAAAAAAAAAAAATGTTAAAATAACTTTAACAGTAGCATTGGAGAAAGAAACTAAATGAACTAATATAAAAATAAAACACTATATAGACTTCACTGTATAAATTATACATTGATTCTTATTAATGCTATTATTAAAGTTCTCAGTCAAGAGCAGGGAGTGATTTTCTCCTTGTGTTTTGTTGTTTTATTAACATTAAATGGATAGTTCCACTAAAAATGAAAATTGTCATTTACTCATTGTTTTTGAAACCTGAATAAGTTTCTTTCTTCTGTTGAAAGTAAAAGTTATTTTGAAGAATGTGGGTAAGTTGCTTTACTTGCTGGTAAAGTTGCTGGTCCCCATTGACTTCCATAGTAGGATAAAATACTAACTTATTCCTGCTATGGAAGTCAATGGGGACCAACAACTGTTTTCCCACATTCTTCAAAATATCATCTTTTGTGTTCAGCATTGAAAGAAATTAATGTTGTTCCAAACCTGTATTAGAGTGAGTAAATTACAGAATTTAAATTTTTGGGTGAACCATCCCTTTAAGGACAAGCAGCAGCATGTTTACTGTAAGGCTACTGTTACGACCCAAGATTATTTAATTTTGTCTAAGGATTTTAAGGGAGTAACATTTATTTTGTCACTGAAGATCTCTAGAAACCTCTCCAGGAAGACACCTTAAGACCGGCACACATCTAATAAACACACATATGACACGCATCCGATTTCCTCTCAAATCTTTGCTTTCACTTTTGACCTATACTGTATTTGACAGTATTAACCCAATAAGACTCGAAAGATAACCTAGTCCAGTAACCAGGCGCTGTTTGACAGGCTTTTAGTGCCTGTGCACTTCGGGTTTATGCGCTCAGGAAAGCGCATGTTAGAACAGCGCATCAGCACGCGAATGAAATGTTTAAACTGCAACACTTTAAAGCACATGGAAATAATGAACTTTTGTAAATTGCAGTGTCTTGTGAGTGTTACTCTCTGCGAGTTGTTCAGTATGTTAAAGGAACACTCCGACTTTTTGGGACTTTAGCCTATTCACCTTATCCCCCAGAGTTAGAAAAGTCCATACATACCTTTTTCATCTCTGTGCGTGCTATAAGTCTGTTTGACGCACCCACCGCTAGCCTAGCTTAGCACAAAGACTGGATGTAAATGGTTGCAGCTAGCATACTAATCCAAATGAGTGACAAAATAACGCAAACATGTTTCTATTTACATGTTGTGATTTGTATAGTCACAGAGTGTACAAAAAACAAAGTCACATGAGACACAGACATATTTTAACCGTATAAATACTGGGAACTATATTTTCTGAAGGCGACTATATATTTTCTGAAGGCGAAACACTGCTACTTGGGCGGAGTGATAACCGCAGCACCTGAGACGCGCCGTGGTGAGGAGCAGAGAGCGCGTCTCATCAGCTGCGGTTATCACTCCGCCCAAGTAGCAGTGCTTCGCCTTCAGAGAATATAGTTCCCAGTATTTACACGGTTAAAATATGTCTGTGTCTCATGTGACTTCGTTTTTTGTACACTCTGTGACTATACGAATCACAACATGTAAATAGGAAAATGTTTGCGCTATTTTGTCACTTATTTGGATTAGTATGCTAGCTGCAACCATTCACATCCAGTCTTTGTGCTAAGCTAGGCTAGCGGTGGGTGCGTCAGATAGAGTTACAGCACGCACGGAGATGAAAAAGGTATGTATGGACTTATCTAACTCTGGGGGATAAGGTGAATAGGCTAAAGTTTCAAAAAGTTGGAGTGTTCCTTTAAGACGGAGACCCCAGAACTGCAACTGATAGAATGCACTGTAGCACGATACTATATTTCTTATCGTCCATGATCAAAAATCGTGATATCGCACACCCCTACTGATCATCAACATTGATTGGGATTGGTTCTATGCATCGATTGTTGATATGTGGGTGTTGCCCTCAAAAGTGGAGGCCAAAGATTTAAACTGGACTAAAAGATTGAAGTCGTGCATACATTGCCAGAGAGAATTTGACATTTCGATTAAACATTAAGAAGTAATTAATAATTTGTATTTTGTGATTTTGCATTTCAGGTTAAAGCTGGAGACCTGGTTTGCATGAGGGAGCTTGTTGCTAAATGCCTGGCTGAATACGCCACCACCAAGTGCCTGAAACCAAATGGCCAGAGACTGCGATGGATGATTTCGGGTAGAACCGCCAGACAACTGAAGCATAGTTACTACAAGATTGCACATCTACCCACGATTCCTGAATCTGCTTATTAAGACTGTTAGTGTTGAGTGCCCATGACTGAACAACTTAATTCAGTCCTATGGAAACCTGTGTGATTGGTTTTAATACTTTAATCTATGCTATGGACACCCAACACTAATTTCTTTAAAGTGCTTAATTTCTGCTAACTTTAATTCCTTCCTCAGTCTTTATGTCCTCTGACACCTGCTGCCGTGATTGTATTTATTTAACATCCACACTGGCTCAATCTTGATTACTAGTCAAGGGTGGGTTTGAGCAAGTTTATCAGATGGGTTTCACTGGTAAGGCTTGCACATGTTCATTTGAATCGGCGCAAGAAGCGCTGGTTGTTTAAAGCAATGAAGTATAGAACCGCCTAGGTCCTCAGTCCACTGTGTGGAAGAGGAGGGAGAAGGGTTTTGAGATTCAAGACAACAACAGAACCAAGAGATCAGGCCCAAAACCCTTAACTCCCACCCTAGGTTGTCAGCTGTTGTAATGCACACTCCTACCCAAGGTGATGAAAATGAGATGGTTTTTTTGTTTTCTTTTTGTTTATTTTGGCATTCTGCTTTCTAATGTGGCATGAAGAAATCTGGATGGCTATGGAAATGCAGGTTTGAACTTGATTTAACGCCTCTAATAGAAAATAAAATAAAAAATAGCTAATTACTAACTAACCAGGCTGAAGCTTATTTTACATTTGGTTATTACTACAAATTTATGTAACCATGACCATTTGTTTTATACCTGGTATAAATTCAACTCCAAATAAAACTGTTGAAATGGATTGAATTTAATGCAAGTGGCTCCTTTTGTTTTGGCTGTAATCTGGAAGTTGAGAGCAGCGTTTTGCAAGATGATGTAGTTGAACCTTTCAATAAAACTGTATTGAAAAGTGAAACATGCTTGTTTGTGGTGTTTGAGAAAAGCCATTTAATAAGTGCTTGAATAACTTTATTGCAATTCAAAGGATGGTTGAACCAATAGTCTTCTAAAACCACTGTGGTGACAATTACAAAATAAACCATGGCATTGGTAAATTAAAACCACCATAAAGACTTGACTCAAAGGCTGCTTGTGAATAGATTATGGCTTTATATCAGTAGCCAGATAGCATTGCGATATATTTAAAACCAAAGGGAGAAGTGTGAAAAATGTTCTCATTGGAAATAAACTGGTGCAATTTGGTAGGCCAGCACCAAGTACATTAATGAAAGTAGTCCTTTTATTTTTGCAAGCTGGAGAAATCTGGTCCACCACCCTGAAAGTTCCCGGAGATCTCTGCCCCGCTGAAGTCAAATCCAGGGTTCTGTTTGAAACAGGATGGGGAAGAAGGTATAAATAACAGATACACTACTGTTCAGTAATGAAGACATTTAGAAACTTACAAAAGATTTGTTTTTACTTAAAAACGGTGTCGTGTAATGGCCACTAAGAGACTTCTTTCAAAAACGTCTTCAAAAATCTTGCCAACCCCAAACTTTTGAAATGTAATTTGGCAAATATTTATAGTTTTTTAATTCAGGAGGTTGTTCATAAGACCTTCAGGTACATCTGTAAGAAGTGAGTCCAGCAGGGTGCAGTGAAATATTTCCACACCTCTCTCTGGAACCTCTCCAGCGTGAGCTTCCTCTGCATCTGATCCTGCACCCACGGGTCTGCCGCATACTCTCCCTCCAAAAGAGACTGCCAGCAGTTCCCAGCCTCCCGGTTCGTCTTCATGAGAACTATTTGGATCAATTTTTTGTCCTCTGCATGGCACAACGAAGACAACGTTTTTCCAGAGATATATTTTTGAAGTTGAAGCGAGAGACATGCACTATTTACTCTAAGATGAATATGTAAATGGGTTTTAGTCTTACCTAACGTCCATGTTGCTTCATCGACTACAGTAGATCCAAACAACTTCCCCTACAGGACGACAGAAAACAATTTAGAAGTAGCTGACAGTTTCCATTAGCATCACTAGCAACATGTACCTCAGTGGGACGTTTCACATGCCTATGCCACATTACAGCACACAATAGAGGCGCATGACAGTAATTACACTAACGCCACTTATCCAGGCTGAAATGTGATAATGCATTGTGTTTACATGACAGGAAGTCGCCTAACAACAAAATATTCCTTCTAGTCATACAGTTTACAAACAACTGTAAAGGACCGATTGGGGGTACTTGAGGCACTTCTACTCAAGTTGCCTATGGCAGGGCTCCCAAATATTCTGACCAATGAATTTCCATGACTATTTTAATGCCTTTCCAAATGTTTGCAATTACTGGATATATATCTTTTAAATGATTTTAATCACTCGCAGAGAAACCATTTGGCTGTTTGACCATCAAAACCTCCAATACTTCGTTATTAAAACATCTGATATTAATAAGTGTGATTTACATTGGCAATATTCCTATAAAAAAACATCTTATGAAATTTTATGAAACTTGTTATTACAATATTTGGTTATTACACTTTAGATTAGATTAGGGTCCAATTCTCACTATGAACTACAACTTTTGCCTCAAACTCCCAATTAGTGCTTATTAATACTTAGTAGTAAGGTAGTTGTTAAGTTTAGGTGTTGGGTAGGATTAAGGGATGTAGAATAAGGCATTAATATGTGCTTTTTACGTACTAATAAACGGCCAATGTCATAGTAATATGCATGCTTATAAGCAACTAGTTACTGCTGAGAGTGGGACCCTAAACTAAAGTGTTATCCAATATTTATGTAATAATATGTATTGCCCTCAAATCACATATATAAAATATTTATTTGATAAAAACAAGACACTTATGTAATAAAGCTTTTTTTGGCCCATGCTTACATAAACTGTGTAATAAAATAAAATAAATATTATAGTAACAGATCATACCATTCAAATTTTAGCTGAGAAATAATGTGCAAATCTGGATAATGTACAGTTAGTAGAATTTGAGTTTTCTGAACAGGCGCTGCTAATGTGCACAAAAAAAGTACAACATAAAACATATTTTACTATATTTTAAACGTTGTTTTTTATTTATTTACATTTTTAACTATTATTATTTTATATTTTAATGACATCAGAGAGCACATTATACTACAAAATCTGAAATTGAACATGAAAAGCATATATTTTCATTCACCAATTCATTTTTTTAGGTTTCAGAAGGCTGTAACATGTCAATTTTGATTGTTAGTTATGGGCATTTGTGTATTATGTCAAAGTTTCTTAGGTGCCGAATCTGCCGATACGTAGCACAAAACAACAGAAACACAAACATCTCTCCACGAAAAGTTACTATCTGGTCTCTATATTGGAAATATCTTAATCTTAACACTTAGTAAAGATTGAATTTACTCCTCGATGCTTATGGAGCTAATAATATGACAAAATGATTTGAATTTGAATTGTGTAAATTTGAATTATTTGCAAGTGTAATCTAACAAAATTGAATTTTATGTGGTAGTTTAAATAGTTCTGAATTTGATTTTTTTAAACGAATATTGAACATTTGAAATTTAACAAATTGAAAGGTTTTTATGGCTGAATTTTATAGACATGTATTTTCAAACAGCTAGTTTTTTTGTTCTGAATTCAAATACTGCAAATATTCAGTTTAAAAAAATACAGATTCAAGTTTTCAAGATGAATAAATTCGGAACTTCAAATTCAGTTTTCTAAAATTCAATCTCAAAAATTCAAACTCAAAAATTCAGGTCTTACAGAAAGTAGGTCACAGGTCATCCACAGGGAAGAGTAGATGATCTCAGAAAAGTCGAACAGAGCATTTTGGTCCATTAGGGACTGCAGAAGGTTTCTTAAACATGAATGATTTTGTGTTTGTTAGGTAGCGTTCTCATCACGTGAGACATTTGTCTAAGCAGTCTCTGGTGTTTGTTTTAAAGTATATTTTGTGTAAAATTGATTAGAACGCCACCGTGTCACCTACACAGACAGGACGCGAGCGGCGCGGTGCGACGCAACACAGTGCTTGAAGCGACTGTTGCAAAGAGCTGGGTCACAAATAGGATGGGGAATCCGTGTGCTTTTGGGGATTTCACAGGTCGCGTCGCTCTGCTCGCGTCCGGTCTAGACTGCGTCGTACATGTAAGCATACGGTACGAGTGGGTGTGCTCACTGTGCTGTATCGTGATGAATACGACGCGAACCGGAGTGCTTGCAACCCCTTCACGGCCGTTTCACACCGCTTGCGTGAGCGGCACTTGAGCAGCGCGTCAGCGTAACTACATCGCCACTGCAGCTGCGCGAGAGTATTCACGCTGGAAGCTTTTGTACAGTGTCACAGCAGCGGCTCCAAAGCTACATAGGCTAAGCGAGCAATTCTTTACAAAGAAGTTTTAGAAGTTGGTAATTTATAAAATTGATAGTCTTGAAAGTTTGTTATGGGGAGGTGTACAACATTCACATATAAATGTTAAACAAAACAACCCAGAAAACAGCTCCAATCTATTCGTTTCAGTCATAGGCCTACTTTCGATGTGTTTACAAGACTACAAAACACACACACACACACACACACACAAAACCGCACACTTGGGTTTAATTTGGGTTGTAGCTGTCTGTGTTACATAAACTAAAAGAAAGTTTAAATTATATTTTCTGGCTAGTTTACACTAGTTTTATATATAATACACCATTAATATATATATATATATATATATAGGATATATATATTTAAAATAAATATAATACACCATTAAATTTATTTTAAATATAATATATATTTATATAATATATATTCACCCAAACTGAATAATTAAAAACAAGTTTAAACGGGTAGCCTAATCTTCTATAGGCCTAACTATTTTTTAGTCTTCATTTTTTTTTTTTTTTGCCAACTCAAGTTCTTGTTTAAACTCACTAGACATGCTTATTCTGTGCATTTTGGGCACTTTTTGTGTGAAATTTTGTCCATCAAAAGTGTATTCACTTTAATTGAGCGTGGAGAAGTGCAGCAAAAACAGATTCGACGCCGAAACCCCCGCTTCACTGCTGCTCACGCGCCGCTCCTGCTCGACGCTCACGCGCTGCTCCTGCTCCCGGTGTGGATGCACTCATTGATTAACATGCACGCCGAAAAAAATACGCGCTGCTCACGCATGCGGTGTGAAACGGCCGTCAGACGTGACTTATTCACGAGACAGCATTAGCCAAAACTTTGTCCGGGCCTTATGTCTGATGTCGGGTTACACAAAGCAAATCGTCTACAAAATTATTTAGTGATCCTAATTTTAATGACCGACAATTTAGTTGTAATAATAATTTTGGCATAGGGCCTAAGGCTTATTAGCGTTAGGCTATAGCCTGAAAGGTCTGATTTAGCCTACACAATGTTACAACAGTAACACATTTTTTTTTCACAATGACATTTGAGTTCATGATTTTAATGTGTTTGTTGTTTTTTTTTGGCAGACTAAAGACTAATTTATTACTTTATAAATTAGAACTTTATAAAACTAATTTATTAATTTATTAGACTAAAGACCGTCTTTATTACTGAGTCAGTCATCAATCAGTAGAGAAGACTTTAATATTGAAGGACAATTGCATTAGGTAGGTAGGCTTATTGTAAGACATTTAATGGCTAATTCACACTCGTACCGTATGCTTACATGTACGACGCAGTCTAGACCGGACGCGAGCAGAGCGACGCGACCTGTGAAATCCCCAAAAGCACACGGATTCCCCATCCTATTTGTGACCCAGCTCTTTGCAACAGTCGCTTCAAGCACTGTGTTGCGTCGCACCGCGCCGCTCGCGTCCTGTCTGTGTAGGTGACACGGTGGCGTTCTAATCAATTTTACACAAAATATACTTTAAAACAAACACCAGAGACTGCTTAGACAAATGTCTCACGTGATGAGAACGCTACCTAACAAACACAAAATCATTCATGTTTAAGAAACCTTCTGCAGTCCCTAATGGACCAAAATGCTCTGTTCGACTTTTCTGAGATCATCTACTCTTCCCTGTGGATGACCTGTGACCTACTTTCTGTAAGACCTGAATTTTTGAGTTTGAATTTTTGAGATTGAATTTTAGAAAACTGAATTTGAAGTTCCGAATTTATTCATCTTGAAAACTTGAATCTGTATTTTTTTAAACTGAATATTTGCAGTATTTGAATTCAGAACAAAAAAACTAGCTGTTTGAAAATACATGTCTATAAAATTCAGCCATAAAAACCTTTCAATTTGTTAAATTTCAAATGTTCAATATTCGTTTAAAAAAAATCAAATTCAGAACTAATTAAACTACCACATAAAATTCAATTTTGTTAGATTACACTTGCAAATAATTCAAATTTACACAATTCAAATTCAAATCATTTTGTCATATTATTAGCTCCATAGATGCTCATCATACCTTGAAGATCTGTTGGTCTTTCACACGAAGCTCTATCTGTTTGCTCCCGATGTTACACTTGATCTCTTTGGCTGAAGTACCAAGAGGAACATTCACTTCGATGAAAACCTCTTCCATAGTCTGATACCATGAGCCCCATGCTGTTTTACACGGGATCACACCACTCCTCTCCTCAAAATGCACTGACATACTGCTCGTTTCACAGGCCTCTCATCAGCGCGGCTGCTTGAGATCCGACAAACGCACATTAGCTGCAATAACAGCTATTGCTACAGTGCAGAAACTGGATATATTTCTCATACATTCTGGCAATATCTCGCAGTGTCTTCTTCTGCAGCGGAATGCTGTGGCATGACGGATCATGTGGGCCATCTAGTGTATTGGAGAGCAGGTAAACAAGAGTAGTTTGGAAAGCTTTGTCTCAGGAAATATGTACTGTCAGCCAGTCGGTCATTGTCGAAAAATAATCTTTATTTTTTTTGTGTGTGTGTATGTGTTTAAATCATGGTTTAAATACATCGGCTATGTATTTTGAGTTGAAATCACTTTATTGTTTTTCATTTATAACTTCATTTAAATCGTGCATTCATAACACTTTATTTTGCCCTGGTCATAGACATAGATGCCTCATTAGCGGCCGTCCGCCATATTGGAACGGTCAAAGTCCGTGAACACGAGTGCGAGTTGTCTGTGCGTCTGCAACCTAGTTAGACTTAGACTTATGAATATATATATATATATATATATATATATATATATATATATATATATATATATATATATATATATATATATATATATATATATATATATATATATATATATATATATATGCAATAGACTTCAGCAGATGATTTAGCTAACCTAACACATTAAAACAAGACGAAGGCGTCAGCTATACGACATTAAAAGGTTAATAGTATAAAAACATGTAATATTGAGTTAATACGTATAAAAACACAAACAAACACATTCTCACATGTGAAAGGTTATCCCATTTCGTCAGCAATTTAAATCTCGGCAGTTTCAAAACCAGACTCTACGTGACATCATTGATTCTTGCTGTGAGTGACGACACGCTGACTGTTCCAAGATGGCAGGCGCGTCGACGTGTCTGGACTCTGGAGCGGTCGAATGTGGTTTCTATGTGTCTACGGCCTGAAATGTATTTATTCCGTGGTTTGGGAAAGTCAGGGCAACTTCACTGCAATGTTTAGTGAAGCTCAAAATCTAGCAAGAAGTTTGCTAGTTGATGTCTTTTTTTTTGCTAGTTGAACTAGCCTACTCTTTAACCTGTTACTTAAAAAAGCAAGTGGATTTTCCTGATCCCTTAATTTGATTATCCTCAAAGCTTTTTACTTCACATTCAGCCCTCCATTTCCTGCCAGTCATACATACAAGACAGTGCTTCAGTTCACTGTAGTGCATTATACAGTACATTATGACTTTTAAATATCGACAGGTGAATTAATTTCTATATTTTTTGCCACTAAAATGGCTTTTCTTTTGGTCTTATTATATCTCACAAGGTAAGTTAATGGATTAAGCAAAGTATACTTACTTTAAATGAGTTTTTTTTATGCTTTATTTAATTTAAGGTCTAAATTCACTGAAAGGACTAATCAAGATGGGGGTTTTATTTCCATTTAGTGTTGCAAATGTAATAGGTAAGCAAAAGATAAATTCAGAAAACATAACGCGGATCCTAGATGGACTTCTTGAGGGTTATGACAATCGACTGAGGCCAGGATCTGGAGGTAAGCATAGGCCTCACGGCATTGAAATAATGTAATATTAAGATTTTCTAAACTATGACGTTTGCTACATTATGTATTTCAATTAACTTTGTATTAATATTATGACCGAGTCACATTTTTTTGCATGTATGTGTAACATGATTAACTTTACAGTCTCTGTAACTGAGGTCAAAACAGACATATTTGTTACAAGTTTTGGACCAGTATCTGATGTTAATATGGTAAGAAAATACAGCCTAAACTTTATTGTATTGTTTTATTTATGTACAAATTCCACATCACTGGCAAAACGTAGTTATAGTGCTTCCGGTCCTGTGGCTTAAGTAGATAATAAGCTGAACTTAGTCTCTGACGGTGCAAATGTCTGTTCATGCTAATATCAGTATGTCAAGCATCTTCCACAATATGCATAGAGAACTCAAATTATGAATTCATATGGGTTGTAATGAAATCAGAACATGATTCACAGACATAAATTGTTCTATCTCTCAGGAGTACACCATGGATATGTTTTTCCGCCAAATGTGGGTTGATGAGAGGTTAGCCTTTAAGGGGCCCATTGAAATATTGCCTTTGAACAACCGCATGGTGGACAAGATCTGGACACCTGACACATTTTTCCGGAATGCAAGGAGATCACACGCACACAACACGACGACTCCTAACCAGCTGTTCCGGATCATGCAAAATGGAACAGTCTTTTACACCATGAGGTAAAACAACCAGATGAGCTGAGTACTGAATAACACTTGATGGGAAACCCTTGAAAAATTGGCTAGTTTCCCTATGAACAAGACAAAACGTTAATGATGTTCCTTTGCTGCGCATTTAAGATCTTGTATCATTTGGGTCACCTCATAAATACCTGTTTTCTCTATATTTTAGGCTAACTGTAAGTGCAGAATGTCCAATGGTGTTGATGGACTTTCCTATGGATGGGCACACATGTCCTCTCCTGTTTGGAAGCTGTAAGATCTATTTGTGTCTATCCATCCATCTATCCATCCGAAGCCATCCATCCATCCATCCAGAGCAGCCATCCATCCATCCATCCACACCCATTCATTCATCCATCCACATCCATCCATCCACACCCATTCATTCATCCATCCACAGCCATTCATCTATCCGCAGCCACCCACAGCCATCCATTCCTTTATATCCACAGCCATCCATCCATCTATCCACAGTAGGGGTGGAACGGTACATGTATTCGTATTGAACCGAAACGGTACGGGCGTCACGGTTCGGTGCACGAATTTGCACGCAGAATACACGGTACAAATAAAAAAAAAAACTCTTAAATAGCGATAAATTTCGCTCTATTCGCTTTTGGTGTGACTGTTAACGCAGCAATGAACAGGCTGCGATCAAGATTGCAATGCAGGAGTGTGTGTGTCTGTGTGCGCGCGAGAGAGAGAGAGAGAGAGAGAGGCGCGATGAACAGTGTGTGTGTGTGTGCGAGAGAGAGAGAGGCGCGATCGAACAGTGTGTGTGTGTGTGCGCGCGCGTGCGAGAGAGAGAGAGGCGCGGGCGCGAATCGCGCGATGAACAGTGTGTGTGTGTGTGTGTGTGTGCGCGCGCGCGAGAGAGAGAGGCGCGGGCGCGAATCGCGCGATGAACAGTGTGTGTGTGTGTGTGTGTGTGTGTGTGTGTGCGCGCGCGTGCGAGAGAGAGAGAGGCGCGGGCGCGAATCGCGCGATGAACAGTGTGTGTGTGTGTGTGTGTGTGTGTGAGAGAGAGAGGCACGGGCGATCGAACAGTGGAAACTTAAAAACATACTCCGTCATTTTTTTCATACAGGACATCATTAAAACTGCAAATTGTTTACTTATATTTGTGTACACTGGCAATAAAACACAACATTGTGCTTTTGTCACACTCTAAACTCTTGTCAAACTGTAACCTACAACTGTTAACAAAAGTTTTTATGGTAGTATTATTTTATACGGAAATCAATTATTTATAATTCAGATGAGAATAAAGTTAGTTAATTAAAATGAAGGAAAACAAATATCTTGATCTGAAATAGCAAATTAATTTTAAATTCATTCAGGTACAATTACCAAACATATCTCAAGGTCTTTTCGTCTTTTTAATAATTGAATTAATAAACTAATTATATAAAACTACTGTCAGTGCACTACAAATAAACTGGTTCTATGCCTTTATTAATAAAACTTATTTAAAAAAAATACAAGGTTTAAGACATTTATAAAAATGCCTTCTGCATTTTTGCTTTGCTTTTCACTCCATTGTACCGAAATCGTACCGAACCGTGATGTCTGAACCGAGGTATGAACCGAACCGTGACTTCTGTGTACCGTTCCACCCCTAATCCACAGCCATCCATCCATCTATCAACAGCCATCCATCTATCCACAGCCATCTATCTATCCATCTATCCACAGGCATCCATCCATCTATCTACAGCCATCCATCCACATCCATCCATCCACAGCCATTCATCCATCCACACCCATTCATTCATCCATCCACATCCATCCATCCACACCCATTCATTCATCCATCCACATCCATCCATCCACAGCCATTCATCCATCCATCCACATCCATCCATTTATCCGCAGCCACCCACAGCCATCCATCCATCTATCCACAGCCATCCATCCACAGCCATTCATCCATCCACACCCATTCATTCATCCATCCACATCCATCCATCAACAGCCATTCTTCCATACATCCACATCCATCCATCTATCCGCAGCCATCCACAGCCATCCATCCATCTATCCACAGCCATCCATCCATCTATCCACAGCCATCCATCCATCCATCTATCCACAGCCATCCATCTATCCACAGCCATCTATCTATCCATCTATCCACAGCCATCTATCTATCCATCTATCCACAGCCATCCATCCATCTATCTACAGCCATCCATCCATCCATCCATCCACAGCCATCCATCCATCCACACCCATTCATTCATCCATCCACATCCATCCATCCACACCCATTCATTCATCCATCCACATCCATCCATCCATCCACATCCATCCATCTATCCGCAGCCATCCACAGCCATCCATCCATCTATCCACAGCCATCCATCTATCCACAGCCATCTATCTATCCATCTATCCACAGCCATCCATCCATCTATCTACAGCCATCCATCCATCCACACCCATTCATTCATCCATCCACATCCATCCATCCATTCATCCATCCACATCCATCCATCCACAGCCATTCATCCATCCATCCACAGCCATTCATCCATCCATCCACATCCATCCATCTATCCACAGGCATCTATCTATCCATCTATCCACAGCCATCCATCCATCTATATCTACAGCCATCCATCCATCCATCCATCCATCCACACCCATTCATTCATCCATCCACATCCATCCATCCACACCCATTCATTCATCCATCCACATCCATCCATCCACAGCCATTCATCCATCCATCCACATCCATCCATCTATCCGCAGCCATCCATCCATCTATCCACAGCCATCCATCCATCCATGCATCCATCATCTATCCACAGCCATCCATCCATCCATCTATTCACAGCCATCCATCCATCTATCCGCAGCCATCCATCCATCCATCCATCTATCC